AATGTTGATGGTGCACTTGCTTGTCGTTGTTTCCTAATGATTAGCAAAAAAAAGAAAGAAAGAAACATATTTAATTAAAATAAAATTAATTTTTTTATTTTACTTTTTAGCTGTTTGTGTAGTTAATTCATTTCGATATTTAACTATATTTTGTACTGTATTTGTAATCATTTGTTCTTTGACTTGTTTATCTTTAACTATATGATCACGTCGTGATTCTCGTTCTTTTTCTCGTTCAAGTTTAATTAATTCAAGACGTTCACGTAATTCAGCTATGGACATTTCATCATGTACACCATGTCCAGCAATCGATGTTAAATCAACTGGTTTCCATCGATCAATTGGAACTGATTCAAGAACACGAATTTGTTGAATTAATTCAGCACGTTGTCGCATTTCTGCTTCAGCCTAATAGAAATAGAAAAAAACAGTTTTATAGGATATTCAAAGATAAGTTGTGAATATTTCATAACTTTTGATCATCTAACATAGGTCGTATTATGGTTCTAAACGCTATTTGACTATATGAGCAAAATCAGATAAAGCGGAATATGACAATCTTCGATATGACTTTGATTCTTTATAAAGATTGGATATTTTTTATAAATAGCTCTGTAATGTTACGGCAGAAAAGTCAAAGAATTTCAGGATAGACTATATCACAAACTATGTCTATGATGAAACGTTCAACAAGATCCGATTCCATAAAATTACTTCACAACAACTAATTTTACAGAGATCTGCTTATGTCATAGAATGAATTTCTTTTTGTTTTATTATCATGTTAAGATCTTGAAAAAGGATTTGTATCATTTAGAATTAATTTTTGGAATCCTCATTTAGTTATAATGATTTTCGTTTCTATATTTGTATTAGTTAGAAATATCGATCGATGTAAATATTTGAAAAGCATTTTTTCAAAAAGTAAAACTTGTATAGATACTATTCCGTGCAAATACAACATTCAAATTATTTGTTTTCCGATGTTAAATGTCAAAACTAGATTTATTTTCCTATAGTTTCCACTGAACACTGGAAATATTGTAATGACAGGATACTTGCTTTTTCTTCGAATGTCTTGTTAACCATTGTTCAATTTTTGAAAACTTAAAATTCAATACAAACAGAATTTTTCTTATTCCATATTACAATACCAAGGAGAAAACCCGAATACTTTAGCGTACTCCAAAGATATACCAAAGCTATTCTCGAGAAGCAGAGATGGAACCGATACCGGTTACCGGCCGATCTATCGGCAGACTGGTCGTTACCGGCGTGTCTTATTAATTTTTTTGCTCTTAGTATATCATAGAGGATGTATAATGAAAGTGTAAGTTTCAGACAGACCAGTCTACTCTACTATCAGAGTACCTGTAAAACCTTCGAGCACCGGCAAAGTTGCAGAAAAAGATCGAGTTCGAAACAAATATCATATGAACACTGATGATCATTTTGTTTTTTTAATATACACGATATTTTACAAATATCAAGGTAATGATGAGTGTCCGTATTCACAAGAAAGGTTATATTTCAGTTCAGAACAAACAGCACAATCTATAATAGGAGTATGCAGTTTCTGTGAAAATACTGACTACACTGGATCGATGTTTACTAAAGCATTGTTACATCCATACAGTATGGATATGTCAGGTAAATCAGTGACCGTCAATGTAAGTTTTAGGTAAAATGTTTATTGAAACTGCACGCCCCTAGCCTAGAATGGATGTCCGTATGGTATTCGTCTCGAACTCTATCTTTTTTTGTAGCTTCGGCAGTATCCGTAGTTTTTACTCATACCTCTATACTGTCAACTTGTGTCACGAGCATATTAGCTTAAGTTCATTCTATATATATTCTTCGAAGTTCGAATACTTTACTGATACTTAAAACTTGAAGTACGGATTTTTTCCTTTGAAACAAATATATTACTATATTAAATGAATATCAAAAAACATTAATACCAACCTCTTCAAGAGCTTGTTTCATTAATTGTTTATATTCTTCTTTATATTGTTTAACAAAGTCAGCTTTATATTGTTGAAGTTTTTGTTGAGAAAGTTTTGCATTTTCTCTTCCATTAACAACTTCATCAATTAATTGTCTATAGAAAAACAAATTATTCATTAGAAATAAAATTCATTTTTTTCACTTCATTCGTTGTTCTTCTTTAACTTTTTCTTTAACATGATTTTCAATAGCTTCTTGTGTTTGACGTTTTAATTCATCAGCTAAACGTCGATTTTCATCTACTAAACGTTGTCGTGCAAGTATAGCTTCTTCATAACTCATTTTTCCTTCTAATCTTTTTCGTTCAATTATATTCATTTGTTCATCATAATCTTGTTTTTGCATTGTTTGTTGCCATTGAAAGAATTCTTGTGCATCTTTTCCACCAGCTTCAAAATCCATTAAACGTCGACGAACATCATCTTCTTGTTTTTTATACAATTGACTTTCTTTTAATATCGTAGCAACATTTAATTTAACTGGAATTTTATTTGTCTAATAATAATAATAATAATAATAATTAAAAAAAAAAGTAAAAATAAATTTAAATGAACATTTTTTGTACTTACTTCAGTTTTTGGTGGTGGATTTGCACGAAAATGATCAAAACGAAGATTTTTATCACGTTCTTCAATTATTTTTCTTAATTTTTTTTGTGTTTTAGATGATTTTTCTGTTTGTAAAAAATGACAATTTAATGTACGTGTTTCATCTAATTTATTTAAACCACGACGATGATTATCTTCACGAATTTTTTCTAATTCAATATGTTCTCGTGATGGTTCATAAGTTGTTTTTGGTATTGTACGAGCTTTTTCTAATTTAGGAATCTAAATTTATGTCAAAAAAAGAATAACAAAATTTAAAGAAAACAAAAAAAAGAATATAATTAATTCGAACAATTTTTGGTATTGGTACAATTCGTGCTTTTGGTGCAGTAAGATTAAATGGTTGTATTTTTGTTGGTTCTGGTATTTGACGTACTGCTGTACGTCCTTCAATAGCATCTGTAAGATCAAGTAGAATACCACGTAAATCTGGTAGATATCTATTTTTTTAGGAAAATAAAATCAAATACGAAAACAACTATTATTATTATTATCATTGAAGATAAATTGTTTAACATACGTTTTCATAACTCGACCAATTTTATCATCAATATATTCTTGTTCGTATAATTTCATACATTCTTTTTGAATTGTTTCAAGATGATTTTCGTTGATTAAAAATTTTAAAAACTAAAGAAAAATGTTATTACAAGTTTAAAACCATACATTGACAGGTGACTCGTTCCTCTTTCCGCGGTTTTTAATGAACGATTCAAACTTTTAGGGTAGATAGACCTTGATAGGTAGGGCAAAAAATGTCATACACTCCACATACTTCCTTTTAGGATATATATCGGTTGCAATAGCTAAAAATCGGCTCGCTTTCTCAGCCGCAATATATTCGATGGAACTGACAGTTTTTTTTCGACACTAGACACCGCTTGGGATGCTTACTTTTTCATCTTCTTTGTTTCGAATGAAAATATTGCATGTACCTTCAAAAATGCATGGTTTGTTTTATTAGAGCTTCTTTGGTAAGATCTATCAAAAATCAAGGATACAATATTATTAAAAAAAAAATTAGACACCTCAAATAGTGTTCAGTACCTATAAGAAATAGTTTCAGCTCTATCAAATGTACTATATCAGAGACACTGAGATGATCCTGCACTTTTTTGTGTAAAAACCGGTTTCGAGAAAAACGAAAAACAAATTTTTCAATATCTACTAAGGACTTTTTTCTTCAATTAAAGTGATCGAAAACTGGCTTTGTCAGAGGTTCATGACCCATGTTATCAGCACGAGTATCAAGAGTTATATTTAATAAAAGTACTAACTAAAAACGAAGAGCTCTTATTTATAAAGTATTTGACAGAGAATACTTCGAAGCTATATTAGCGATGAAAAGCCAAAAAATTTCGATTTTAACATCCGTTCTTTATCTTTTGAAAGGTTTGTCTCTTTTGTATCTATTATAAGCAGCGATCAAGTGTTCTAGTTATTCATTAATGTATTCATAAATGGAACGTATTTTTCTCTTTCATTATTTCCGATTGTAATCTCTCAGTGATATTAACTCTTGTAAATCATTTATCTAAAATTTTCATATAGACCAACATGCAAATTTGATTATGGCTAAGAGATTTAACCTGAAATAACGAAGAGCAAAATATATGCTGCTGCTTATGAACGCATAAATGCATAATTAAAACACTTACTTATTACTTTTAGTCTTAATAGTCATTTGTATGAGTAAAATGAATTTAAAGTGTGTTCTGTGTGTTAGACCTAACAATCTGAACGTTCAGAATTTACATAAAATACAGTATCTATAAGAAGATTTCTTTCCGAGTCAACAATAGAGTGCAATAAATTTCTCAGTTAATCAAAGTATAAGACATGATTGTTGACAGATTTCTTTTTCCGAAGTGAAATCTATTTCAGAAAGATATTTTATCTTCACTTAATCAGTTGAAGTATAAGCACTTAACTATTCTTAACCTTGAAAAGTAAAAATTATTAAAAGTGTTTTTTTTATCGAGTTATTTCATTCAGCAGCAAAAAAATCACCACAGAATAAAAAAGAAACAAATCATTCTAGAATATTCTATTGATCCAAACATAATATAAATACTTAAACTAGTTAATAGATAATCCATAGAAGCAATAAAATAACCATCTCTCAAACTATGATTTTCATTTAGACTTTATCTAAAAACACATTCGACATATTAAACAATCAAACTTCATCGTTTTGCACTAGGATCAATCAGTTCCTTTGATAGGAAGTGAGCTGTCTGAAATTTTTGTTCTGTTTTTTTTTTGAAACGACATTCCAGTAACAGAACAAAAGTTTTTTTTGTACCCGAAAGTACGTTGCCAAAAATAGAGCAAAGGTCTTTTATACCCGAAAGTATTATTCCCAAAACAGAACAATAGCTTTTTGTACCCGGAAGTGCCATTCACAAGACAGAGTAAGAGTTTTTTGTACCCGAAAGGGTCCTTCACAAAAACAAAACAAACATTGCTCAAACAGATCACAGACTGTCTTCGACATAAGTCCGAATCAGAACTGAATTTATCGATCTCTACACTTTACACGAATTAAAAACTAATCATTACTTTTTTTTCCTGAAAAAAGAATTATTACTTTTCTGATTTCCTTTTCTTTTCTCTTCTTAAATGATTCTGTCTTTGTTATGATCTTTCATATACCTGATAGATTCGATTTAATTGAACAGAATTAATAAAACCACGTAATAATTTAAATCCAACCGTATCAAGTTGAAAAAAAATAAGATAAACAATAACTATAAATAAAAAAAAACATAAATCATTTGATGTACATATATTTCTAATTTGATTTTTCAAACTTTTATAAATATTATGTTCTGATCTTCGTATATGAATTCCATCTGTAGCATAAAAAATATCAATTATAGTTTTAAGTAATGTTGAATGTCGTATACAATCAAATAATATTGTTGATACAAATGTTTCATTAGGAACCTTTTAAAAAATAAATCTTATAATATGTATAAACTATTTATAGAATAATAAAATACTTTATTTTCTTGAAAATAATGTTCTAAAAATGTTTCTTCCGATATACTATTATCATATTGATTTAATACTTGTACACAATGATAAAATAATTCACTATATGCATTTGCATTTCTATCCATTTCAAATGAAAGATTAATCGAATGAAACAACCATTAGTAATGTACGTACCATGACAACCAATGGAATGTTTAGAAATAAAAATTATTTTATATTTTAAATAATTCTTTGAATGATATTTTTTTAAATTCTAACATTTAATATAAAAGAAAAAACGAAATATTTTTTTTTTTGTAAATGAATTTTTTCATTAGTTAATCTCTTGTCAAATAGAATCGATGATCAATTTGTTAATCATTCTTCCTTTTGCTTACTTGCTTGCTTGCTTTGCGTTCTGTTTATTCATATCTCAAATGGTTCTTTTACTTCCCTATTGTGGTAATCTCTATCAAGGTCGAATGTATATTCAAATCTTTTTAGTTCTATATTCTCAAAGTAATATTATTCTTTGAAAGTTTTGTTTTTCTCATTATTTTAATTTCAAATTTATAGTTTTAATCTCATATGCATATAAAACAAGTCCTACACCATGGTTTTGTACAGATCCAAATGCATTAGATTCAAGTGTTGAAATATCTCGAAAACTTCCATCATGTTTACCAGGTTATGCTATTGATATAGAAGATGTTGTTTATGAATCAACAATTGATGGTACATGTTCTGGTAGAAGTTTATGTAGTACACATAATAAAAATACTCTTACATTTGCATGTAATCAAAAACAAATGTGTGATGTTAATATAAAACATTTTCGTTTTCATATTAATAAAACATGTGGTTCAACAGTAAGATTTTTTACTAAATATCGTTGTTTACCTGTTATACACGAACAAAAAGATTATTTATGTGAATCAACAATACGTCGAACAAATTTAGCCGATATTAATTTATCATGTGAAAGATATTATCGTTTACATATAACAATGGCATTAGTTGGAATTAGTGTTAAACCAAATGATAATACTAGAAAAACTCAATTTAAATGTAATAAAAATATATATTGGCTTTGTAATTATTATGTAGCAGATGCTTATGGAAATGTTTGTAATAATCAATTAAATCGTGGTAATGGTGAACATTGTCAAATTCGATCTAGTGATCGACCAAGATTAAAAGGATGTGAATATGGTGAAGCATCAAATTTTTCTCTAGTAGAATATTCATGTATACCAGGTAATTTTATAGGAACAATTAAAGATATTGTAATGGAAAGAAAAATATTTCTGCCTAGTACTAAATTCAATAGCTCAATATCTTCCTTACAACTAATACTAACCGTAGTACTGGACAGAAAGCCAGTCTGACGCTGAATTTTTGTACTCAATTACTTGAGCTCTTCGTATACAGTAACTAGTCACAAGAACAGATATATAGGGTATAAGATAATAATTTTGTTTTATTAAAATAAATAGACAACAGAAAATAAAAGAATATATTCTGGAAAGAAAGGCAATGTTACTTATCATATGTCTTTGCACTAAATGTTGGATATCTTAGTCTAAATTAACCTTCTATCTATCATAGATAGAAATGTCAAATATTTCTCCCTGTAGAATGCTATGGTTATTATCAATCAATTTATTCATAAAACTTGATAATTATAACAACATTCTACAAAATTTGTTTTACAATACTTTTTGAATCCTATTTAACATATGAAAGATAGCAAATAGAAGAATTTCATTCTACTAATTTGAAAATTCTTTGTTTTCTTGTTTATAGGCGAAGGCATAACTGAAGACCTTCCTCGAATAGATATTTGTTCAAATACAACACCTGATCGTATTCCGATCAATCGTGGTCTTCTTCAATCTCCTTATTATCCTAGTCCATTAGGAAAATATTTATCATGTATTAAAAAATTATATGTTACACGTGAATCTCGTTTACGTTTATTTATGCTTGAAAAATCAATTGAATATTATCATGAATTAAATATACGTTTATTAAATAATGAACCAAATACTCAACGTACATTAGCTAAAAATGAATTATTTGATACAAATATAACTAGTCAACGACATGATGAAATTGTTGAAATTGAATTAAAAACAAAGCATAATGGTGGTGGAAATTTTTTACTTTATTTTCAAGGTAAAATTATTTCTTTTTCTTTTTTTTGTTATTTCTCGAATAGTCGATGCAATCAATTATTTTTTTTTATCATCATATAAAATAAAAAAAGAAAGAAACGAATGAAATGACTGTTATATATTTGTCATGTCATTTTTTATGATTAATGATCAACACGCATCGAACATTAACAAATACTAATTTATTCTAGTTGATTCACGCATCTCAGAATATGCACCATTGGTTCTTGAAACTGATAGAACATCGTATGATAATAATCGACGAGAAAAAGTTTTGATTAAACGAGATTGGGGTAAGTTAACAAATATTTATTCATCAAGAAATTTTATTTTCTTTTTATTTGACAAAATTTCTAAAAGATTGATTGTAAACAAAATATGAGACAGGTTACTATGGTAGCTATACAGAACGCAAAATAAATATTTTTTTTCTTATAAAAAACGTGATGTAATTCTTAATTCCAGTTGATGAAATATGTAAATAGAAATATAAAAATATTTGATGTTATTTTATCGTTTTGGAAAAATTCTTTAAATATGAAAGGAAAATTCATTACTATTAAAATTAAAATAATTAGAAAATTTTTATTATTCTACTATTTGATATATCATACAGTTACTTAGTATAAGGCCTTGATTCAAAGACTAAACCCTGGAGGTGATTTCATTGTTGCATGTTATTTTCTAATCAGAAATATATAAATCGGTCGATTTCAACAGTGACATTGTCAAAGATTGATCAGTATCCGTTGGGAATTGTATGACATTAGAAACTTTTCATGATGGCTTATTGTAATGAAAGCAAAAACAAAAAACAGCAATCAATTATGTGGGTCAAATCCGAAAGAGCGAAGTCCTTCAACTAATAAATTGCTTTTAAGTCGAGAGTATGTAGATTGTGTAAACATAAATGAGCTTTGAATACCTTGAAAAGAGTTCGTGCTCTTAGCTCTATTGTTGCATTTTTACGGAATTATTTTTAAATACAAAAAAACTAATTTTTCGAATTTTAACTTGAAACTTTGCATAGGGACAACGAGAATAGATTGATAGATCTTATAACTATTCCTATCCTAAGATAGAACTATGATAATAGCGTATCTGTTACATTGCTTATATAAATCTCCAGATTTGATATTCTTATTTCAGGATAAAAGCAAATCAAAAGATCTGAAAACTATTCTCGTTGTTCCCATGCAAAGTTTAAAGTCGAAATTCGCAAAATCAGTTTTTCTGATATTACGGCATTCATTTAATAATTATCATAGAAGTGAAGCAATAAGATAAGAGCACGAACTCTTTACAAAGTATCCATAGCTCATTAGCGTCTACATAATGCACATAATCCCAACTTAATAGCAATTTATCAATTGAAGGACTTCCCTTATAAGATAATTTTATTTATAGGCGTTGCTATTGGTAGTATAATTGGTATTATTCTTGTTCTTCTTCTAATTATAATTGTTATTATCATTGTTCGAATTTCAAAGTTTGTTTTTTTTTTTTTTGATTCTTACTTTATTCAATCAAACGAAATATCTTTTATTTTAGACGTCGTCGTACACGGACTCTTAAATATTTAAAACCTGATGATGATCATCATCAACATTTAAATGAACCAACATCTTTACATGATCGTCATCATCCTAAAAAACCTATTCAAATTGAACATCCACATTTATTATCTACGTCACCAAAACATATTTCATCATCAAATATTAATCATGATAATATATCAGATCGTGAAACTCTTCTTAAACATCCTCCATCAATAAATATCATAAGTATGAATATTGATAATTTTTATGAATAAATAAAAGAACAACAATAATAACATGTTAATTTAACATTAGGAAATACACATGATACAAATCAATATATTGAACCTAAATCATTTGAAGATCGAAAAAAATTTTTTGATGATAATATATCTTCAAAACCAATTCAAGATCATCGTGAGGTATTCTATTATGAATATGAAGGATAAGCTTTAATTTTATTGTTACCAACAAAAAAAGCACATGCTTCTTCTTCTCCTTCTTTGTGTTGTTGTTTTTATTATTATTTTACTTTGCTTTTAATTTCCTCTTTGTTTTAATATTGATAATTCTATGTAAAAAATTCCTTTCTGATATTTTTATTTTGATTAATATTCTAGTCATTGTATTTAAATTATATACATATATTTTTTTTCGTTGTATTATAAACAACAAAATAAAAATTTACTCAGCTATTGCTTTAAGTCTCTTGCTTTTGCTTATCATTATGCACTGCTTTCAATTATTTTAGTCTTAAATTTCAAAACAAAAACAAAAACTCTATTGATTATTTTTCTATAAATATACTTAGAATGAACAAAATGTTCGTCGAACAGCGCCATTAGCTACACCTGAACATGCTAAACAACGTATAGCAAATACATTATGTGATGCACCAATGGCTAGTACAGAAACTTTAGATGTGGCAAATAATACAATAAATAGTGAACGTATGAAACGTCCAACACAAGCACCACCAAAAATTCCACCACCACGAATGGATTTACATCATCCAAAACCTAGTGCACCACCAATTCATTTATTACAAAATGATTTAAGTGAAAATACACGTCCACATCATCATCATGTACATCAAATTCAACAATGGAATAATAAGAACCAATATGTTTAGAATAGAAAACATAGAATAAAACCCTATTCATATATTTATTTTGTGCAACTTTTGATCAAATAGTGATCGAATATTACTTTTGCTTGTCTAGTCCATTTTATTTCTTTTATATTATATGTTCTCCTAATGCAATTTTATTAGTTCAAAACAAAAAAAAAAAAAAAAAGAAAAAACAAAATAAATCCGTGATAATAATGAAAAAAACAATTCTTTTGAACTTTTCTTGTCTTAATTGTCTGTTAAGTATAATCGATACGAGAGTTAAGTTATTATTATTATTGTTGTTATACTTTGATGATGTGTAGAAATAAGTGTGCCGCTCTTTTGGTTTCAATGAGGGGGATTTATCAGACAAACGTATATAGAAAAGAATAATTATTGTTAATTGCGAGTCGTCGTCTCTTCTCGTTGGTTCACACACTTTTCTTTCTCTGTTGGAAGTAATGCATATATATATATATATATATTGATTCAACGTATGGAGAAGAAAACAATTGTTTTCTTCTTTTCACATGATCAGGAATGTATATAATCGTTTAGCAACCAAGCAATTCGGCAATCGTACTGACATTCCAAAGACGTAACTTATTTGTTATAAGAATAAAAATAAAATATGAACGATTATCATGATCGAAAATCTTTTAATCTTCATGTTTTACGTTCAAAAATTGTCAATTGGAAACAAGGACATGAAGATAATGAACATAGTCAACGTGCAGTAGATTTTCTTATAAAAAAATTAAAAAATTCCGATGGTAAAAAATTTCACTGTTTTCTTTTTTGTTTTTTTTCTGAATCAAATCTTTTATTTATTTATTTTCTTAGGTGTACTTGATTCATTAGCTAAAGTTTTATTAAATCCTCATTGTTCAAGTCCATGTATAACAATTCCACCATCAGTTGATAAACGTATACAAATTGTTTATCGAAAAGAATTTCCACATGTTGTTTATTGTCGTTTATGGCGTTTTGCTGATCTACAAAATTATCATGAATTAGTTCCATCATTACAATGTCGATATCCATTTTCACCTGGAAATAATCGAAATCAAAAACTTGTTTGTATTAATCCATATCATTATAATCGAGTACCATCACAAGGTAAAAAGAAATCGAAAATTTTAAAAATAATATTTTAATTTTTTTTTGTTTAGTTCTTCCATCAATTATTGAACCAAGAATAAATAATGAAAATACACCACCAACACCACCACCATCCTCATATTCACCTGATCCATGTAAATATATTTGACATTTTTTAATAAATAATTAATATATATATATATTAAATTTAGATTCTCCTCAATGGACAAATCATCAAGTATTACCACCATGGTGTACAATTAATTATTATGAATATAGTAATAAAGTTGGTGAACAATTTCGTGCATCATTACCACAAATATTTGTTGATGGATATACATCACCATGTAGAAATTTTGCAAATCGATTTAGTTTAGGTTTCTTAGAAAATGTTAAACGACAAAAAGGTGTCGAATATGTTCGAGCATCAATTGGTAGAGGTAATTATATAAATATCAAATGAGCGAAAATAATTGCAACATTAGATATTGTTTCAAATATCTCAGTAAAGATAAATCATAAAGTTTTGAATTTCTTTTTTTAAAGGTGCCTCGAAAAATTCTCTATAATAATTAAAATCAAAGGTTCTCTTGGCTTGTGATAATGGATATAGACAGAACTACAATGAAAGATGTATAAGACATTTGAATTGCTCATTTGTCAGAATTCATTTCCTTTTGTATCTATTAAGCGATGAGTTTTTGTATAATGAATTTGATTTAGATCATCAACTTATGTTTTCTAGAGGATTTATATTAGATTGAGAAATTAGAACATCTTATATATATATCTCATTTTAGCTTTCTTTAAATCATTAGCACAAATCAAGAGAATCTTTTAACATATTGTAGAGAATTTCATGATGTATCTTTAAAAAAATATATTTGCATGATATTCAATTTTATAATTATTTTGTTTCATTCAATATTTATATAAATTTTATTAAATTTCAAAAATCTTATTATTTCTAGGTATTGAATTAATTGAACATGAAAATGGTGATGTATCAGTACGAAATCGTTCATGGTCATGTTCGATATTCGTACAATCAATTCTTTATAATCGTTTAAATGGTTTAAATGATTCAACTGTTTATCATTTACAACGTCGTCAATCAATACATTCAATATTTAATTTATCAATTTTTACTCAATTAGTTAATAATCCATTAGCTACATATGAATCAATACTTGATTTAACAAAATTATGTACAATACAAGTTAGTTTTAAATATGGTTGGGGTTATGATTTTGGTCAACGTGAAATAACATCAACACCTTGTTGGTTATCGATTCTTATTAATGAACCACTTCGTCTTATTGATACTCGTTTACAACAATTACAACCTCAACAAGCAACAACATCTAGTTAATCAAACTCTTTGTTTTCTTTTTTTTTCTTTTTTTTTTGTATTCAAAACTAACGACTATTAACTGGAACAAAAAAAGGAAAGAAAAAAAAACACATGTTGCTCGCAGCTGTGTACTCGACATTTTTTTTTCCTTTGCTTTTATGATTTACCGCAAAATGTAGATATTTTTGCCATAGACAACGATATCGACGATACGACGACTTTGTGTTAGTAGAAGGAGAACAAGAATATTCTTTTTTTTCCTTCATTCTTGTTTTCGTCAATGTTATAAAGAAAAAAAAAATGCATCATCAAAATTCAATCACCAAGCCAAAAAAAAACCTCTAATTAGTTTGATGTCGATTAATCATAATAAGAGGCAAAAAAAAAAGGTCGTAATCTTTTCTGGTTCGAGCAGCAATCTATGTTCTAACCTATGTTTTTCTATAATAACACATTTGATGATGCAAGAATGCAAAAAAAAACGAATAGCAAGAAGTATAAAGAAGTGAATATGATTAAAACACGAATCGTCCTCATCAGAGGTAGTTCTAGTGTACTGTGAACATTATGACAAGGCAAAATGTTTTTTTCATGATGGAAGAGGGAGAGAGAGAGAGAGAGAAAAACACACAGCTAAAAAGAGAAAAAAAAAGAGACACACAGACAAAAACAACCAAGTTACATATACGAGCAAAAATATTTTCTTTCGTTTCATCGACGGCTAAGACATCAACCCGGGTAGAAAAGGGAGAGTGAGAGAGAGAAAAAAAAGGAGGAGTAGGGGTCTCATAGTTGCTGAGTACTGATAATATAAAGGCATCGAAAGAAACAGAGAAGCTCTCAGCACTGCGACAGAACACAATCAGCAGTGAGTCTTTCTACTATCTCTCTTCATCCAATATAACGACAGTTGCATCTGAAGCTTGATAATCAACATTGCTGCAATATCTATGCTAAATACTAAAGGTCATACTTACATATGATTTTGATAAGTAAAGATGAATCTCGGATGCCTCGATATTAATATATGTAAGTAGAGTAAATTAATCATATGATAATTTTTATTTTAATATTACATTTCCAAATTTTCTTTTTTCTCATCTTTATGATTTATTATTTTAAGAGAAAAGAAAAAAAATTCATTATTATTATTATTTTTTTCTCTTTATTAATCATTTCTTTTTTTAAAATGATTACTAAATTAAGAATAGTCGACATAGACAGAACGAAAACAGCTGATGATATTTTTATCTTTAAGTGCACCCTTTTCGCTTGGTAAATAACTACACAAGCAAATAAAATATGTATGCGTGTGTGTGTGTGTGTGTATGTTTTTTCTTTTCGTTTCTTTATTTCGAAATAATGTCTTGTTTGTTGGATGTTTTTGCATATGGTCATCATCAACATCTTCTCATCTTTCGACTAAACACTCATATTGATTTAATTTATAAAAAAAAATGTACTTTAAAAGAAAACTTTTATGATAGATTAAACAAAAAATACTATTCAATATAAGAGTAAACATGCGAATGTATGAAATTATAGGAGCAAATATTTTATCAATCAAGAATATTGAATTAGATATAAAAATTTCTATGAAATGAAAAATTTAATTGTTTATTAGTTCAATTGCTAGAGATTGATTTGGAATATATATATATATATGAAATTTTATCTTTATTTATTGTTTTTTATAATAATAGACTTTGATAAGCTTATTGATTAAAGTATAAATCATTGACAAAAGAATTTGACTGTTTCACATAATTAAAACTTATACTTATAAAAGTACATAAGCTGTTAGATAAGATCTATTACGAATATGACACAGATAGATAAAATAAACCAAAGTTTCATCAGAAATAGAGTTTTCCTATAATGGTTTTGAATGTATCTGATTTGACCTATTGACTTTTTTCCTTTATCGCCCCTGATAAACAGCTGCGTCCATTTTATCCAGGCCTAGCAAAATAGACTACAGAGTTGTTTTTGTATTATAACTAACAAACATTTAGTCTTCTATTACTATTGACATAATACTTGTATTAAAGAAATGATTCGATTTTACCTTTTTTTTTTTATATGTCAGCCGACCATGCTAAGGAATTTTTTCTAAACTTTGTTTTTTTTAGGCATATCAATTTTTGATTGAATATCACGAACATTTATGAAAATTTGTCTCTTTTTAATGAAACAAAGTTTTCATTTATAATTAATTTTGAATAGAGATGCGCAGTATTGGTGCAAATATTGACATTGAATGATCGACACAGAGTTTACGGGAACACTGATACCTACGTTTGCTACCATATTGAGACAAGAACTCTCCTAAAATATGCCCTTTTAGGTAGCGGTGTGTTTCAATGCTTCAGTGTGGACTAACTACATTGAGTCGATGATGTCGATGGTCAGTAAACGGAAACTGCACATATCTAGTTTCGAAATGAGTGACAACATTTTCATCTGAGTATGACAAAAAAAATTGTGAAATCGTTAACCTTTGTTTTACTGAGTTTTTGATGACATGTGAAGTTTATCACAAAAATACATTTCGATTTGCGAATTGGTTTGCACAATAGATGTTATTACTTTTAAATAGTTTCTTAAGTTTTTGTCTAAATAAATGGCATATTATAAAAAAATAAAATTTTAAAATGTTCTGTGAAAATATAAAATTTTATTGAAAATCGGGCTTGTAGCTAAATAAGGACTCATTTGGAATGAAACTTTGAATATATCCTGAGCATTGATAGATTCAGTCAGACATCGTGCAAGTGGAGCAGTGCAAACAGGGTTGTCTCGAGTTCATCAGGATTAAATGTTCGAGTGTTTTTTGAGAACTCTTGAGCAAAAAAAAATAATTTTCTGCAAGAAAAGTACGTCATTCGAGAGGTGAAACAGTTCTCTATCGAGCCCAGATTATAAAAACGATCTTAGTCTTGATACAAACTTTTTGTTCAGTGTATATTGGTACCTGACAAAATATCTGATGCAGGACACTGAATAAAACGCTGAAGTAAAACGAAAATTTCGCAAGATTAGGAGAAGGTGTAACTCCCGAGCTCGGGACATCTCTAAGTAAGAACCAACATGTCTATTGTTTAATAATTAAAAATGATCAATTCTATTCAATATATGCCATAGAACTCTAAAAATATTGTATAATTTTTCTCTATACAATATCCCAAATATGTCTTAATTTCTTGTCTTCAGTTCACCGATTCGATCCACAAATGTTCTAATCGAAAGTTGTGTATTCAACTTTTTCTGATATATATTATATTCTTCACCGAAAGTCGAGTGCACAAATTTAAAGAAGTGAATATCTACATAAGTTTTCTGAGTGAGACTAATGAAAATTACCAAAACTTCGTTTGTATACTCTTCAAAGATTCGCACACGAAAAAAAAAGACTCAAATATTCTTACTCACCATAAGCTGAAATAATATTAATAGAGTCAAACATCAGCCTAGAAACGTTCAAATTCCACTAGACTAAACAAGATCTGAATAAAAATCAAGTAAAGATGAGACGAATTTTCAATATGAGTTCTTGTCTATGAGTTCAACATAGAATTTGTCAACAACGACACTTAAAGCAAATTCACTGTAATTGTATTATAGATTCTTTTGATATCAAACATTTTATTGTACCAACAACTTGCTCCGATGTCCAATAGAAGATATTTTTAGACTAATGAATAGCTATGTATTTTAACTCCAACTTTTCATGTATCTTAGGAGAATAACATTATCATTTTTTTTTTTTTTATTAAAATCAATGTTTCCATTCAATTTCATTTAAAGCCAAATATAGTTTTGATTCATAGTGGGTAAAATTTTGTTAAATTAGTATTACTTTTTTTTCGTATCAAATACAAATATTTTATTGCATTTCTCACTTGCCCTCATTCTTTTTCTTCACCCCCAATCTGATGCTGTTTTTTTTTTAACTATCATTTGTACATATCATATTCTCCTTTTTTTTTTGTTTTTTTCGTATTCTATAGGGAAAAAATGAAATAAAATCAACCAATTGCTTTTGATTGTACATCAGCTGGTTGTCTTTTATTGGTTGACAAGTAAGTCAATATTTATCTTATTTCTCTTCTTTTCTTGCTCGTATAAACGATCAAGAACAACCAGTAGTCGCAACAACGAAACAACGAGAAAAAAAAAGAGAGAGAGACACAAGAAGACCTGTGTGGAGATGAAAAGGCAAGAAAAAAACCCAAGAAACGAAGTAGTTTATTTACTCGTCCGTCTGTCTTGTTATTATCAATATATTTTTTTTCTTCACGGATGACAGAAAATTTGATGAGGCTTGCATCATTTATTATTCAATCATATGAAATATTTGAGAATGTAGAAGGTGAAAGGTAATTGTAATAGTTATTTATCTTTTATTAATAGAGGTGTTTCGAGCGAAAGAGCGATCTCCCTAAGAATTCGAAAAATTGTCGTTTTTGCTCAGCAATTCTCAATAAAATGCGTATTCCCCCAAATCCTGTCAGCTTTAGCGAAAATCTTCTAATCAGCCTCCGCTCTTCCCCAATCCTAATGACTTCGAGATATCCCCTGTTTAATAACATATATAAAATATTTCAATCAGATAATCATACTCTTATATTGATAGCTTCGAGAATTTGTAGACTTCAAAAGATACGATGTGAGGTTTCTCCTATACTAACGTTCTCTGATAGATCTATCTTTAGCCTCCTGCTGAGTACCAGAAGAATCTCTATGTAATACTAATGTAAATGTCAATTCCAACAGAAGAATAAATGTCAACATTCAGATTTTGATAACATTTAATCTTTTATTAATTTAGATCAATAGCAAATTGGCCTATACGTATATTATCCAGTTTTTTCAATGGAATACAAAAGGTATAATAAATTAGTTCTTTTTCTTTTTTTTAGCTTGAATATAACGAAAGTTTAAATGATAGACATTAGTTTTTAACTATGAATAGAAGGAAGATACACATCGCGTTTCTATTGTTTTAGAAAGCTTTGAAGAACTTTTAAAAAAAATGTATGAGTAGATAAGATCTCTTGAATGTCGGCAAGTAAGGTTATTTGTTTGTGTGCTAAAGAAAGTTTTCTTTTTTTTTAAAGATCTGCCAAAGATGCTGTGAACTTATTTTTCATTTACTTTTACTACGATTGTCTTGGATACTTCAAAAAAGAAAACGACAATTTTTTAGTTTTGAGGCTTTTTCAAATGAGTAAAAAAAACTTTTTTTTAGAAGAATTAATTTCAGCTTCGAACGTTTTTAAAACTTCTCAATTGAGTCCTTTTTTTATTTCGATGATAGTAGTTCAGTTAATAGATTTACACATTTCATTTAAATTCACTTCATATCCTTAGATAACGCTCTTGTGGTGTTTTTTGTACTCAGAATGATCCTTCTGACTGTCAGAAACGGTTATAAAACGGCATATTATTACATTGAGTTTGACCATATTTTACCATAATCTATCATTATGTTTTTATGGCGTGTTTTGTTTACATGCAAAACGGCCATCGTTTTCTTCTACTGTTTTATGGGATTACGAAAAATGGCAACTTAATAACATTGGTAGCTATCTTAAAAAAAGAAGTTATCCTATATTCATATAATGTCTAGTGTGTACGTTTCGTATTTCATAAAATTTTGTTTTTGGATGTTCCTAGTATGTCATATAACTTAATCTATTTATAAATATATATATATATATATATATATATATAGAAAAGTCATTTTTTATCATAAAAAATATTTTAGTTTCTATCTTCTATTTGCCATCAAATAGAAATCTGATGCCAATATGTACAAATAGGAATATAAAAACTTATCGAGTTCTTTGTGCACATCTGCTATAAGTATAATAGATGTTTTGCTATTTTCTTCGTTCTTTTTTTTCCTCACATATTGTCATCGTGTTATTTTGCATTTTCTTACAAGGACGTACTGACGGCAGCCAAAGAACTTTTTACAGAAGTCGTTTTTGTTCGTATTGCTATGTTTGTCTTTCTTTGCTACATATATATATATATATATATATGCGTGTGTATGTGTGCGCGTTTATGTGTAAGGAACCGATCGTCCGACCAGATGATTTCTGTAGGAGTGCCTACTTGTTTTGCTTCCAATGCACTATTCTCGTTTTGACAGTTCGACGCCTTTCTTTTTTTTCTCTCGTTTTTTTTTGCGGTACATGCGTTAGACGCTTTATTTCTCTACATAATAAAAAATATATATTTTTGCATTTGTAACTCTTACTTCTTTCCTCTTCATTGATGTCGCACATTCGAGAGAGAGACCCAAATATACCAAAACATTCTATAGGAAAAAGGAGAAAGAAGGAAGACAAGAAATAAACTTGATCAGAATATTTTTCTTCTTCCTTTTTTTTTTGTTTTTGGTTTCAAAGCACCAAAAAAAAAAGAGAAAAACACGATGATAATAATGAAAATCTATTTGGTACGTTGTCGTGTATCACTAGGGATCGAGAAAGAGGAAGCGAAAGTATGATGACAAAAAAAAAACCATATGAGATGATGAATAGTTATTACTTCTACTAACACTCAAATACACATACAGGTAATTCTCAAATATTTATATATATATATATTATTTAAATTAAAAATAATTCTTTGACATACAGGTGAGTTAATCATCGTTGACTTATATGAGTTTATTTTTAGAAAAATATAAGCTCAATGTTGATTGTTATATCACATATGATAATCTGTTAATAATATGCGAATTATTGACCATCGTAAACCAGCTATTATCTCTTTAAAAGCCTTTTTTTTTCTTGTCGAGTATTTCAAACAGCCATACTTAAATTTTTGTTAGTATTTGAAAAATTGATTCTGATTACTATTTAAAGATATTCTGTCTAGTAAGTACTATCTTTTAATCAAGTATGCCATATGTCTCTATCTTGATAAATTTAAGAAAAAAATAATAAAACAAAACATACATTTTTCTTGTCTGTTTGTTACTGTTTTCACATTCCATTTATTTCTTACGTGTTCGATTGATGAAATTTCTTTTTTCTCCCTTTTTTTTTTTTTTTACTTATAAACACATCCGTATGTTGTTTATTTGATTTATTGATTTTTTTTTGAAATCAACATAAGACAATTGAGGAATAAAAAAAAATAAAAGAAAATTTTTTCTTTTTATTTTTGGCGCTCAGCTTTTTTTTTATCCAACTTTTTCCTAGTACCAAAGTTTGTAAGTAAGTGTGAAAGGCAAACTAAGTCGTTATAATGTGTATAGCAAAAAAAGAACTGACAACAACACATCAAAAAAACAAGAGAAGAAAGAATGCTTGAATACCTCAATGATGTCGAGGAAAGCAAAAAAAGAAAAAAAAAAGCATAGTCATGTCTTTTTCTTCTGTTGTGCTCTATTTTTCATTCAGGCAGTTGCTCGACACCACCATGAATACAACTATTACCCTTACAACACATATATTCTTTCTTTATTTTTCTAGCAGAAGAATAAGATATTTAGTTTCTATGTAGAATCTTTTATATTTATAAGATGAATTAGTTATATTGATTAAGTCTATGTTATATTGGAATTTTTTTGTCTGTTTTAGATTTATATATTTAAAATAATGTTATGTATTGACCCTGAGACCCTAATTTGAGACTGTTATTGATTATCTCAGGTTTCGGTCTCCGGCTCGATCATTCATTATAAATTAATAGATATTGATTTATTTGTTTTAATCATGTATATATTAAAATTTATTTTTTATTATTATGTATTTCAGGTGAAAAAAAAAAGTCGATGAATGTTGTTTTGTTTTTGTCATCAAGATCGATATGTTAATGGAAGTTAACTATTGACAATCTAACGAAGAGCAGTGGATTTTTGCAATTATTTGTCTTTTATTTTTTTGTGTAATTTAAATTTTGATAAATATTTTTGTACTTTTTCTAGGTTTCAGATATGTAGTAGAGAATATGACGCATTAATATTATTGTAATGAAAAAAAAAAAAAGAAAATTAGTAAATATTTGTTTTTTATACAATTGAAACGAAACAGATGGACTGCAAATTAAGTTATTTTGTTGTTGTTGTTGTTGTTTATTTGAATAAAACTTTTAAAGTTTCATATAGATACAATAAAGAACTGAAAGTTGAATCAGAATATCATAAATGAAAGATCTAGTTCTACAAGAAATTTCAATTCATAGAATCATGTTATTGAGTTTTTTGAGATGTTGGAAACTATAGTTACGTACTCATTTAACAGATCTTATTACATTAATGAAAAATAATATAGATTTCGATTCTCATTTTATTTTGGTGTATACCTAAGAACGTTGAAGTTAAGAATGACATAATTTATTTTTCAAAGTTTGGTATTCTCAAAAGAAAAAAATTCTTATCATAACTTATGGACAAACAATATACACAATATAATTCAATTTAAAAAGTCTATGCGGTTATCTATCAGCTGATGTGTGATTCAAAAAAAACTAAAAATCATATCCAATATAGAGTGACATCTAGATTCTATTATTATTATATTCATGGTAGAGTCCTAACTATAGTAAAAAACTATGAAATGGTCGTTAAGAGCTTCTCGAAATAAACATTACATAAAGTGCATTTGCTTAAATTTCATTTCATATCTGTGATTATTTTTGCTCGTGTCCATTTCAATGGATAACGAAGCAACTACTGTTCTTAATAACGGTGACAATACTGATACAAATTTACCAGCTAATATACCTACTGATAATGGTTCTCGACGTAGTTCACGTGTTGGTTCTGCTCGTTCAGGTCGTAGTAAAGCAGCATCCGTACGTGAAGCACCTGCTGTTGATGGTTCAAATGAACGGAAAACATCTGCAAATGGTGTTACATCTCCAAAACCAGATGTAATTACTAATGGTGATCGACAACATTCAGCTGTGGTTAACTCTAAACCTGCATCACCTATAGTGCCCATAGTTGATACACCTAGTGGTGAATTTGATGATGATAATATGAATCAAGAAGATGGACATGTTAAATCAGAAATTGAATCTATTGTAAGTTTTCTTTTAATTAAAATTAGATTTATAGTTCTCCGTTAAAAATTGGTCTTGGACCAGATGCATTCAAGCAGCATAAAATTTTCGACTCTGTATCATGATGTTTTCGGGAGATATTCAAAAAACAAGGGATAGAAATAGCTCATTTGGCGAGCCAAAATTCTGTGTGGACCTTTATTCTATAGGCTTAATTTTTTTTTTACTTGAAGGAACGTGTCTGATTGCAATGCCTGACAAAGCCCTTATTCGTATTCTTTATATAGAAAAAAAAATGATAAGTTCAATATCACAAATCAAAAGCTATGATTTTAATATGGACTTAGAGATATTGTGTCTATTTTTGTGAGACTTTTTGAAAGACCTGAAAAATTATTCAGCCAACAGGTTTTTTTTATTCTATAACTCTCTTTTCGAACATGCTAAAAATTGTCGGAGTCAGTCATTTTGTAGAGCAGATATTTCTATTTAAAATGTAATATTGAGCAAAGTTGTAGTTTTCATTTAAGCGTTTGCTTCAGAGATCCTTTCCACATAAAACAGTTGTCGATTTTTCAAAAATAAATATTTAGGAAAAACGAAAATTGAGGTGTTTTTCCGAAAGATAAAGAGAACTTCAAATAGAGCATTGAATAGAGTAGATTCTGATTTACAAGTTGATATATAAATAAAGATCTTAAATTTTTGTTTCAAATCGGAGTACTGAAAATGTAAAAGCTTTCCGTCCAAATAAGTTTTTCAAAGATAATTTCAATGCTTTAAGACCAAAATTATGATAAACTTTCTAAGAGCACAAAATTCTGGCTTGTGGTTAAGGAACTGCGGATCCTTCCAGACCCGAACCTGGCCGGGCTTGGATTCAAAGTTTTATTTTTTTTTTGTCAAGTCCGAGTCCAACCTTTTATTTTTTTGTTGGATCCGGTTACACGTTTTTATAGACCCGCTACTCTCCAGATGAGAAATACAGCAACAAGATATAGTTGTACGTTGAGGTATTTTTCTGAGAGTAGCAAATAAATAGCTGAAACCTTGATCCTTCACTTGTTCATGTACACGAAGGATGTCAGGTATTGATGGGAAAACCTCAGGTTTGGACTCGGTTGGACCCGAGGGTCCATTAGCTGTCATAATAATAATAAAAAAAAAACAGACACTGTAGTTTCACATGCTCTTTCAAATACAAATAAAATCGGCTACAATGAAGCTCTTTTGAGAATTCGAAAATATGCGACCAACAGAGAAAAAGCAAAACGAGGTGTCAAATAAAAAAATCATATCGTTTATGAAACATTAAATCTTAGGCTGTGTTTCTCAATTTCTATTTTTCTGACGAAAATTGATATATTTATTCTTTTTATATTTAGTTTGAATATATTCATAAACTTGTTACACTTCCTGGTTTGGATGAAAAAATGTGGACAGACGGAATTCATGAACGTATTCGTGATTATCTTAATGATCCTGATAATCGTATAATGTGTTTTTATATTGATCGTGTACTTGGACTTTGTGTTGACTTTGGTGTACCAACAAATCCATTTACACATTTAGTATTTTTTATAAAAAATCAAGCAATCCGTATTTTTGAAAAAGAACAATTTATTCAGTAGATTATTTTTTTTGTTTTTCCTATATAAAACTTAAATCATATAAAAATATTTTTTCTTTTTTTTTTTTTAGTGAAGTCCAATATGGTAATTTTGGTGGTAAACATTTTTCTTCTCTTCTTCGTTTAATGTCTGGTCTTTATGCTCCATTATTTTTTGGTAATAAAATGTGGCCAGATTCAATAAAAAATGATTTTGCATCACAATTACATCGTTTTCTTGCAACATTAACTGATATTCGTTGGCGTATGGAAGGTATAACAAAATTATATATACCAAAAGAAGGTTTAGATATTCCAATTGAACAAGCAGCAAAAGATAAAGAATTAGTTCAACGTTTAGAATCAGCTATGGTTCATTGGTGTCGACAATTAAAAGATGTTTCACATTCACAAGATGCATCTATTGTTGATGAAAATAGTGGTCCATTAGAAGAAATTGAATTTTGGAAAGCTCGTAGTCAAGATTTATTAGGTATTAGTCAACAACTTGATCAACAATCAATTAAACAAATAACACAAATATTAAAAATAGCTAAATCATCATATTTATCACAATTTCTTAAATTAGCTGATCAATTACAATCGAATACAAAACGTGCTGATAATAATTTAACATTTTTACTTGCATTAAAAGATCCATGTCATGAATTAGCTGATGCTAAACCAAATGAAATACCAAGAATTTTACCTAAATTGATTTCTTTAATTCGTGTTATTTGGATTAATTCAGAATTTTATAATCGATCAGAAATGTTAACTGCACTTTTTCGAAAAGTAAATTTCTTTCAAAGAACAAAAATAATTTTATTTTTTACAAATTAATTTTTATTGTATGTTTTCTTTTTTAGCTTAGTAATGAAGTTATTCGTCGATGTACAGCAGCAATTGATCTTGATAAAATTTTTGATGGTAATATTATATCAAGTCAAAAAACATTAAATGAATGTATTGAATGTTGTCAACAATGGCAAGAAATTTATAATAATGTATGAGAATTATTATTTCATTGTTTTTATATGAGGAAAGTCGATAATTGATGAAATATAGTCCTATAACACTTGTTTGCGCTGTGCAAAGACCGATTGAAATAATTAATGGTTGTCACATGTATGTTCAATCCCATTAGAACCCGCTGGATGTGGTTTCTAAAATTCTGGACTCAACGGGCTCTAAATCCCACTGTTGATGATGGTCAACTTTTTCTATTAGCCAATCTGATGATTAACAAGTCTAAATTTTCATATGTTTCGATAGTAATTTTTAAGTGCTATAAAATAGTATTAAGACATTAAAGAAAAAACGCTGACTATTCAAACAAATCCGAAGGACACTATTATGGAGTCATATATTTTGTGTCTTATCGAAATATATTTGATTGATTTTCGTCAAAAGAATTTGAATTTTATCTAAATGAATGACATATTTCAAATGAGTACAAAAACTTGACCGGTCGTTCATCAGATTAACTGATTAAAATAAAATTGATCAGTAGGATTGAACATACGTGTGACAACTATTACTTGTTTCAATCGATCTTTGCACAGCACAAAGAAGTACTAATTCGACTAGCAATCACTTTCGGGCATCTTGTATCGTAGTTTACCATAGAAGAAATCAAATATCTCAAAGATATCAATTTCATCAATTATCGACTCTTCCACCCACCTTCTCTTCTTTACCTTTATATTTAATTAATTTTATGAAATTATAGGCTCAAAGTCTTCATGAAAAATTTTCATTAAAAGGTTGGCGTCTTGATAAAACAACAATTTTTGCTCAAATTGAAGCATTTATTCAACGATGTCGTGATTTACTTGATTTATGTGAATGTCAAATGCATTTTGCACGTTGGGAAGAAGGTGTTCGAACTGAATTACCAATATTTGGTGGACAACGTGGTCCATCAATTAATCGAATGTTAACAGAAATTGAAACAGCATTTGATAAAAATTTACAAGAATTAAGAAAAGTACAACATACAATATTAAATGTTAAAGCAACAACATGGCATGAAGATTATAATCGTTTTCGATCAGCAATTAAAGATCTTGAAGTTATGATGACAAATGTTATTACATATGCATTCGATGCTGTTAAAACAGTTGAACAAGGTGTTGAAGCTCTTGACGTTTTTACACATTTAAATTCAAGAGAAGTATGTTTTTTTTTTCAATATCGAAACCTTTTTAGTTGTAGCCTACAATTCTTTTTGTGAAACACAATCTAAAAAGAATGTTAACGTATAGAACTAGGAATTTGGACTTACTCCTTCCTGAAAGATCATGACAGACATCTTGGCAATTCTTTCCTTGAGGATGCGAAATAATGACAATATCGTGTTTCACATTTTAATCCTACAGGGATTGCGTTAGCAGGTTTTGTTTTTGTTTTTGACTTACTGAGATTTATGTCGGAGGATAATTTCGACCAATGAATACCTATATGTAATAAATCGAACTAATCTTAACATTTGCTGCGATGGAGTCCTATGTAATTCAAATTGGACAAAAACTGCTGGTAAACTATTAGATACAATGTCTACCGTTCCGTCAGTATTTGCTGGTGTACCGACAATCAGCCGGCGGGCGTGCGAACCAGAGATATCCATGGCGACGTTGCCACGACACATTTTTCAAAAACCATTGCGGCATCAGAGAGATTTTTATCACACCGTCGCGGCAACGATAGATTCTCAGCCGCAATGAACATCTATGGCGCGAACAAACATACAAACTGAGTTTGCTAATTTTCGATGATAAAATCTAAGTTTGCATTTTCGACTTTGAAAATACAATAAACAAATCGAATGCGATGAAATTTCTAGCGGAAAAGTTTCATTGAATATTTTCAAGTGAACTCATATCGCACATTTGTTCGAACTACCGTGGCTAGAAGATAACCGACTATTTAAGTGTCAAACTATCGTTGGTTGATTGCTAGTACATCGGCGAATACTACTGATGCAGCATACATTATACTAAACTGTCTACCAACGGTTTGTGTCCCGTTTGAATCACATGAGTAATTTGCTCGAAAAGTTTTGAAGTCTATAGAATCTACTATTTAATCATATGATTGATCTTTTCAAGGGAGAAGAAGGGAATAACAAACTTCCAGTATCATTCGTCTGTTATTTTACTTTCAATTCTATTTTCTACAAATGAAATATATAATTATATCGATTGTTATTTTTTTTTTCTTTCTCTTTAGGCAATTCGTCGCACATTAGATAAAAAAACTGTTGATTTATATAATATATTTAAATATGTACTTCAAACAATTCAATCAATTATATCAACATCATCCATTCCTCAATCACTCGATCGTTTTCATCCTCATTATGCTGGTAGTGCATTTTGGGCACGAAATTTAAAACGTCGTATTGAACGTATGATGTCATTTTTAAATATGGCACATTTTTTACCTAATGTTGGTATATCAACAAATATTCGACAACAATATGAATATGTTAAACAAGCATTAGATGATTTTATTCAACGACAATTTAAAGAATGGTCATATCATATTGAAAATGAACCAACAAAAAAACTTGAATGTCCATTAATAAAACGTATTAATGATGAAGGTTATTTACAAGCAAATTTTGATCCATCATTAATAAAATTATTTCAAGAAATTAAATTTTGGGAACGTCTTGGTTTTGATATTCCACCATATGCAACAGAAATTTTATCACGAAAAAATGAATTACGTACAGCACGTGAAAATGTTATGTTAATTGTACGTGATTATAATCGTATATTAGATAAATTAGAACCTAATGAACGTATTTTATTTAAAGAACGTCTTAAAGTATTAGATAAAAAATTAGCACCAGGTTTAAATAAAATAACATGGCTTAAACCAACACATGAATATACAATTGAATGTCGTATACATGCATCCGAATTACAACAACAAGTTGATAAATTTAAACAATCTTATCTTGATTGTATTAAATTATGTAAAAAAATTAGTGAAACACTTTTAGTTAAAATTGATACAAGAAAAATTTTTGAAAATCTTGAATTTGAAGAATATCAAGTAAACAAAAACAAAAAATCCTGTCGGATTTGGTGATCTATCTTGAATCAGAATATCATATATGTGGTTTTGTCGAGCGCTTTACAGTGCATTGAATGGTATAAAAGAAATCAAGTTGTTAATATTCAGAAGATTCATATACTGGTTATAATCCTTGTGAAATACATATGGTAGTCATAGATATTATAATCTCTAAGATAAACTTATGTAAATATTGTTTCTAAACTTAATTCGATACAGTTACAGGTGATCTTCAATTTTCTATAATCAATAATTTTCATCTTTGCTTTCTTTATATTGAAAACTGGTCCCTTTTCTTAGGTCTAGATTATTTCTTGACTACTTGATATTCCAATGTGCATAACTCTATGCCACAGAACAAGTTAATACCAACATGAAACGTTCTTAAGAACTACACGCTATCGAGCTCTATGTGTTTCATATATAACATCTTTCGAAACATCGGAAATTCATTATCAACCTGTAGAATTGTCCCGTAGAATAGCATATTTTCCTATATGAAGAGGCCAGTATATTGACAATATTGTAACAATAATCAACGATTCTATTCAAAATTTTTATGCAAGAATAATCAGCACATCATCCATAATGAATTGATATATTTAACTCTTTTATAAATGGAAAAAAAAATTATTAATCCCCAGATCTCTGGAGAGGTGTACAGGGATATGAAAAAAAAGTTTTTTTTTTGAAATAAACATGAGATATTTATAGATTATTCTAGAGTGTCATGCATAAATGAAACCTGGATACTCGGAATAAAAATTTGAGAGAGAAATAATAAAAATAGCAGATGTTCTTTCTTCAACCCTATTCCTATACTCGCGTCCAGGAATCTGAAAGTCAACAAAAAATATTCCATTTATAAAATAGTTATTTATATCAGTTTATCACGGATGCTATACTGATTATTGATACGTAAAAATTTTTAGTACGATAGTTGGATATTATCAATATACCGGCTCCTTCATAGAGGAAAATAGGCTATTCTAGGGAACAACCTTGCAGGTTGACAGTGAGTTCCTGTTGTTTCAAAAGATGCTATACGTGAAATATATAGAGCTCGATAGTGTGTCATTTTTAAGAAAGTTTCAAGTTGGTACTTACTTTTTCTGTGACACACAGTTGAACACATTGGAATATCAAGTATTCAAAAAATAATCTACACCTAAGAAAAGGAAATATTTTTAGGCATAAAGAAAGTAATGATGAAAACTATTGATTATAGAAAATCAAAGAGCATTTTATACGTATTTGTCAAGGATTATAATCAGTATATGAACCTTTAGAACATCAACAACTTGAATCTCTTATAAACCGTTCGATGCATGGCAAATTGCGCTACAAAACCATATATATAATATTCTGATTCAGGATAGGTCATCAAATCCGATAAGATCCTTTCCGTTTTTTTTTGTTTTTAATTTAAATTTTTCTTCTATTAGAAACAACATCGTAAAATTGCAAGTGAAAAAATTCGCGAATATTTTAATGAAATTTTAAGTAAAATTCATGAAACTCACAAAATATTTGAAAACGATCCACCAGATGTTCAACATGAATGGAATCGTATTATTAGTGAATTAGATAAATGGCTTGAACGTGCTATTAGATATAATTTTAAAGCATCACTTACTGAATTATCTAAAGCTATTAATGGTGATGGAAAAGCTGCACCAGGACCTTTATTTAAAATTGAAATTATTCTTGAACCGAAAACAGTTGGTGATACAACTTTATCACGAGTAAATTTTTCATTAGTTTTTTCTTTTTTTTTGGTCTTATTTAATTAAAATGTTTAATTTATTTATTGAATAGATTAATTTTAAACCTGATTTAGCTACATTGAAAGCTATTATAAATAATATTGGTGAACATGAACTAGCTGATTCAATTACATTTCTTCGTAGACTTAGGCCAAGAACAAATGAAGAAGTAAGTTAGAACTTTTAATCTATTAGTCAGTTGTTGCAGTAATTGTAAGAGATATAACTCAGTAAGTATATGACGCAGATAAATGAGTTAAGATACTAGATATCTAAATCTTACCAAAGAATTTAATAGAATAGATATGAAATACATGCAGACAGTTAAGATCATTCTGGATGATTGTAAGAATTCTGTAAATGACATAATCGATGTTTCTGTGCTATACTTGGACATATAGTGCTGGCCAAAATATAAGATGAACACTTTTTTTTTCAATGATATCGAGTATTCAACTCAAATCATTTTAAAATCTATATAAATATTTGAATTTTTATTTAGCCACTTCATATGTTACTTAATAAAGATGAAGCTAAACAACATTTAAAACATCAAATAGCTATTGGACTTGATGCAAATGAAAAACATCTTGATGATTATCAAACAACATGGAATGGTGTACGAGAATTATGGGATGTTGATAAAGAACGTTTTATTGCACGTTATGAAGAACGTTGTCCAGATGCATCATTTTTCGATGCTGATATTAATCGTTATACTGAAGTTGCTAATAATGTACAATCACGTGATACATTTGCAACAGTTCAATTTGTACTTATCGATTGTTCACCATTGAAAAATGCTTTAGTTGTTCATTGTTTACAATGGCAAGCAAAATTAACTGGTAAAATTATAAAAAATAAAAAATAATATTAAATAATATTTTTATCTCTTTTCTATTTATAGCTCTTTTATTGAAATTAGCAACAAATGGTTTAGAACAATTAGCAAATTATATCGAAGAGAATAGTGCTAGGTAAGAATAAAATAATAGAAAACGAATTTCTAAGATTTTGTTTTATATTTAATTTAGTGTTCTGATGACACCAGAAAATCATTATGGACTTGAAGCTAAACAAAAATTATTAGAAACATTACAACAAGATATACCTATCTATGAAGCCAAATTTGCACCTTTACAAGAACAATTTGCTTTACTTGAAAAATATGAAAAACCTGTTCCATCTAGTGTAAGTATGGGATCAAAACGAAAAGTTTTATTCAAGAGGAAAAGAACAGAATTCTACAAAATCGTATAGAAGTCTTGAAGTCTATAGTCTGAAACTAGTTAGATGTATTGCTATTGCAAAGAAACCTGTATGCAGCATTTTCCGTAGTCTTCTCATTCAGACTTTCCTATTTTTCAAATCTTGAGAGTGTGGATATGTTTGTTAGTAACTTAAACAAGAGTAGGTTAAGTCGGGCGTCACCCTACGACTGAAATACAGAAAAAAATAATAGTTACCATCATTGACACTCAGATTACCCCCCAAGACAGTAGGACAGTGCTCTACCACCTACGATCTTCTGGCTACACCACTAGTGTCTGTCTTCTCTTCACTCACATCTATACCCACTAGAGCTCTTCGGGTTGGCCCTGGATCTGATCGAGTCTGGGCCCGAAAATTCTGAATCCGACGAACTCTGATACCCACACCCAAAAGGAAAAATAGTAAATGGCATATTTTGATAGACCTATGAATGGTTACTCAGAATCTCGAAATTCAGGGTGCTAACGCTCCGCTCTTTCTCTCTTGGTTTTATCTATCAAAAAAAACAAAAACGGTAACTTTTGTATATGATGAAACTTAATTTAAAAAGTCTTCTTTTCATTTTGTTTAAAATTGAAAAGATAAAAAAGAAAATTCTTCTTATTATTAGACTCGTGATATGCTTGCACAATTAGATGAACGTTGGCAACATTATCTTCAATGTTTAACTGAAAGTGAAGAAATGTTGAAAAAATTACGTGAAAAATTTAAATCAAAATTATTACAACAATCAGAAGATTTTAAAAAGAGTGTTAGTGAACTTGTATCAGATTTTAAAACAAATGGTCCATTTACATCATCAACAACACCTGAAGAAGCACTTAATCAAATCGATGCTATGAAACAACGTTTAACAAAATTAAAAGAAGAAGAACAAGAACTTCGTCGTGGTCTTGGAATATTTCGTATTGATCATCCATTATCAAAAGATATACAAAATCTTGAAAAAGATATTGAAGCATTAGAAGGTATATGGACAATGGCACATGAATGGAATCAAATGTTTGATAAATGGAAATTAACAACATTTGGAAATCTTCAAACACAAGTTATGGAAGATTATGCACAAGCACAATATAAAAAATTACATAAATTATCAAAAGATTTTCGTGAAAAAAATTGGGAAATAATTGATTCAACAAAAAGTCGTGTTGATCAATTTCGACGTACAATGCCTTTAATGAAAGATTTACATAATAAAGATATGAGAGATCGACATTGGAGACGTATTAAAGATGACTCACAAAAAGAATTTGATGAATCATCAGAAGATTTTACATTAGAAGCTATAATTAATATGCATTTTGAAGAAAATGCACAATTAATTAATGAAGTTAGTGAAGCAGCACAAAAAGAAGCACAAATTGAACGTGGTATTGAAAAAGTTAAAGAACAATGGGATAAAGTTGAATTTGAAATTATACCATTTAAAGATAAAGGTATATAATCTTAATTATAACAAAAATATATACTTCGCAGGAAAATTTATAGTATCATGTTGCACGTTTGTTCGCACTATCGACGGTATTAAGAGTTTATATATGCATACAGAATGATCTCTACTCAATTATATCTATATGAACTTCAAGTATTTAGGATGATCTTTTAAATGGCATATTATCTCTTTTAATAACAGTGATGTAAACAGAAGAAATGTGATAATTAAAATTTTGAAATCGGCCAGTTTTTTTTTAAAAATTTTAATCAATTGTGGACTCATTGTATGTAATGTAACACAATTATACAAAGCGATACGTAGTATCTACGATGTAGGTGTGGCCATCTTTTGCGTCCATACCCTAATTATCATGCTTCGTCTGTTTATATCATTATTATCGAAAGAGATAATGTCATTTAAAACATCGTCCTAAGTACTCAAAGCTCATATAGATATAGTTGAGTAGGGATCATTCTTTGTTTGTATATAAACTAATTTTTGTTAACGCCCAGAACGTATGGAATATCCTTTAGCGCACATTATACCGAACGGTCTACTGACGATTTGTGCCCAGTTTGAATTCCATAGGATTAGATATACATTCTCAATTATCAACTGTATACGGCGCAATAAAATACGCTCATAATATTGTATCTATCAAACACCCATTCAGAGATTTTTATGACTGTCTCGGCAACTGTAATCATCGTCCTGGGTCCGATAGACATCAATCGAACTAATTGAATTTACTATTCACTTAATGCCTTTGCCTTAACACAACTTCTGATATCCAATTCGCATAATACTCTATTAAAAAAAACCATAGACTATATTTCTCCTGGTCGAGCAATACGATGTGTATAAAAGATTCTATGCGACTTGTTTACACACTGTATTTTACCGTATATCAGAACGATATTTTACTCAGTGACAGAGACAGAGTTTTGGGCTAGAGGAACTGTGCCTCCTGGCTCTGCCACTGAATTTACGAGTAACTTTGACTTCTATTTAACAAAAATATTTTTATTTAAAGAATAGAACTTTTCTTGTTCATTTGAAAATATAAAAATAATATAAATAAAATTCTTTTCAAGGTCATTATAAAATCAAATCAACTGAAGAAATTAATAAAACTATTGAAGAACATCAAGTATCATTATCAACATTTAAAGCATCTCGTTTTATTAAACCATTTGCTAAAGAAGTTGATAAATGGGAACGTGATATATCTCATGTACTTGAAGTAACTGAATTATGGTTAACTGTTCAACGACAATGGTTATATCTTGAAGTAATTTTTTAATTAGAAGAAAAAAAATTTTCTCAAAAAAAAAAAATATATATATATATATATAATTTTCTTTAGAATATATTCTATGGTGAAGATATTCGTCGACAATTAGCTAAAGAAACTGCTTTATTTGATGAAGTTAATGAAAAATGGAAATCTGTTATGACAACATTAAATCAATCACCAAATGCATTTCATGCAACACATTTAGAAGGTGTTGATAAAGAATTACAATATATGAATTTAAATCTTGAAGAAATTCAAAAATCTTTAGAAATGTATTTAGAAAATAAACGTCGACAATTTCCAAGATTTTATTTTATATCAAATGATGATTTACTTGAAATCTTAGGTCAATCAAAAAATCCACCAGGTGTTATGCCACACATGAAAAAATTATTTGATAATATAAAAACATTAACATTAGTTAAAACAACTTCTAATGCACCAATGGCTGCAACAGAAATGCGTTCAAATGAAGATGAAGTTGTTCCATTTGATGGTCAAGTAAGTTTTTGCGATAATTATATTTAACACAAAAAGTAAAAACAAAAAATATTCTTTTTTAGGTTTTACTTGATGGACAAGTTGAAAAATGGTTACGCGATGTTGAAAATAAAATGAAAGAAGTTGTTAAACGTAAAGTTTTTGCATGTCGTCATGATCTATCAAATTGTGGTACAAAACGTGAAAAATGGTTAAAATCTCATCCAGGTCAAGCATGTATAACAGCAAGTCAAATACAATGGACAGAAGAAGTACAAAAATCTTTACGTGATAATGTATTAAAATTACGTACAGATAGAAAAAAACAACATCTTGTTTTAAGAAATTTTACTGATATGATTAAAAAAAATTTAACAAAACTTGAACGTATTAAACTTGTTTCATTAGTTACAATTGAAATACATGCAAGAGATGTTATTAATGATTTAATTAAAAATCAAATTAAAACTGAATCATCATTTGAATGGCAACAACAATTAAGATTTTATTGGAGAAAAGATGAGATTATTATTGAACAAGCTATTGGAAGATTTTGGTATGGTTGTGAATATTTAGGAAATTCAGGAAGATTAGTTATTACACCATTAACTGATAGGTAATAATTAATTATGAACAGATTTTGAAAATTATTCGCTTCTTTGTATTTTTTTAGATGTTATATGACTTTAACTATTGCTTTATCGTTATGTCGAGGTGGATCACCAAAAGGACCTGCTGGTAAATATTGAATTTTTTTTTTATGGAAATATACAATAACATAAAATTTATTCTCTTAGGTACTGGTAAAACTGAAACAGTTAAAGATTTAGGTAAAGCTATGGCATTTTATGTTATTGTTACAAATTGTTCTGATGCAATTGATTATAAATCAATGGGTCGTATGTTTTGTGGTTATTGTCAAACAGGTGCTTGGGGTTGTTTTGATGAATTTAATCGGTAATTAAAATTGTGTTTTTTTTTCCTTTCTTTCTATTTTATTATTATTTTGATAAATTTAATTTTAGAATTAATATTGAAGTACTTTCTGTTGTTGCTCAACAAATAACATCAATATTAAATGCAATGACAACACTTAAAAGTGATATTGAAAGTGCTATACGTGCTAAAACAAATATGTCTGAAGAAGATGCATTTGCAACAATTGATAAACGTTATTTAAGTAAAAAATTTACATTTCAAGGACAAGATATTGATCTTGTTTGGTCATGTGGTTTATTTATTACTATGAATCCAGGTTTATTAAATGAATTTGTTTTTGTTTAATTCATTTCTATTTTTTTTTTGTTCTTTAGGTTATGCCGGTCGTACTGAATTACCTGATAATTTAAAATCAATGTTTCGTCCAATATCTATGGTTGTACCAGATAGTAATTATATTGCTGAAATTATTCTTTTTGGTGAAGGTTTCTCAGATACACGTTTACTTGCTACAAAAGTTTATACACTTTATCAATTATGTGCACAACAATTATCAAAACAAGGTTTGCAAAGAAAAAAAAAATCAATATTTTTCTTCATTAATAATAACTCTATCGGGTTAGATGAGAACTATTTCAAATTGGGAAATCAAATATATCATGTTGACTAATATATAATAAATCTTATTTTCATAAGACTTTGAATGAATTAGAGTCAATTTACTGATAGACGACTACTATGTACCCAAAGCATGATTATTGTGGTCCTTGGTATCTGTCGAAAGTGTTCAGTAAGGAATGTTTCTTATATACAGTTTTGTAGTGCTTTTTATGGACTACAACCTCATATACTTAATATCTTCAATCATCCTGTGTTTGATAGCAAAAAATTCGATTTTTTTATGATTTACCGCATTTTAGCATTACAGAAAAACACTATTGGAAAATTCTCTCAGACGATTGTGTAATACTCAAAATGGCCTTGCCGCCTTCAGAATTCTTAACCAGATTTCTTTTAATACATTTTTGATTAACAAAACTTGATTTTGATGCGAAATAAATATGATATTCGGAATCAGTATAACAAATTCTATTGAATAGCTTATATTTTAATTAAATGTTTTTTCGTAAATTTTATCTTGTGATTCCGCATGGATTGAATTTTGCCAGAACAAAATATGCAATTTGTTATGCTGATTTCACATATCATGTTTATCTCGCATCAAAAACACCTTTTGATAGACAAAAATGTATTAAAAGAAAACTGGTTAAGAATCCTGAAAGTAAGGCCATCTTGGACATCACACAATCGTCTTGAAGAATTTCCCAATAGTGTTTTTCTACAGTGCTACATCGTGGGCAATTTCTAAGAAAGTTTGACGTCTTCTATGGTCAATACTATTGAACACATCATTAGTGAAAAACGCCGGTGAATTATTGAAACATTATATTTTTGCCTGTCAAATATAGGATGATCGAAAATGTTAAGTATATAAGCTTGTAGTCCATGAAAAGCACTACAAAACTATATATAAGAAAAATTTGCTTACAAACACTTTCGACTAATACCAAGAACGACAATAATATATACTCTTCGACGCGCCTCAACTGCCTCTGCTATATGGTATATTTGATTTTTTTAATTCGAAATAGATCACTTAATTCGACAAGATTCTTAAGTTATTATCTTATTTAGATTTTTATGATTTTGGTCTTCGTTCAATGGCTGCTGTTCTTCGTTATGCTGGCCGTAAAAAACGTGATTCACCACATTTAAAAGATGATCAAGTTGTTATATTAGCTATGAAAGATATGAATGTAGCTAAAATGACTGAACCAGATTTACCATTATTTAATGGAATTGTATCAGATTTATTTCCTGATATTGATACACCAATAATTGATTATTCAAAATTTAAAGCTGCTATTGAAATTGAACTTGCTGCACAACATTTACAAAGTACAAATCATACAGTAACAAAAGTTATACAATTATTTGAAACAAAAAATTCTCGACATTCTGTTGTACTTGTTGGTTGTACACAATCAGGTAAAACATCTATATGGCAAACATTAAAACGTTCAATGACAAGAATAGCAACACAAGATTCATCAGATGCATTATTTCAACGTGTACAAGAATATCCAATTAATGCTAAATCAATATCAATTAATGAACTTTATGGTGCATCAGATTTATCAACTGGTGAATGGAATGATGGTATACTTTCGAATATAATGCGAACGGCTTGTGCAGGTAAAATAAAAGAAAAAATAATTTTCGTTTTTTTTTTTTTCTAAATTTTATGTTTCTTTTTTTTTAGATGATAAACCTGATCAAAAATGGGTTTTATTCGATTGTCCTGTAAGATAATTTTCTTTCTTTTTTTGAATAAATTAAAATTTTTGAAATAGATTGATGCTGTTTGGATTGAATCAATGAATTCCGTTATGGATGATAATAAAATTTTGACATTAACTAATGGTGAACGTATTGCTATGCCAGAACAAGTTACACTTCTTTTTGAAACTGGTGATATGGCTGTTGCATCACCTGCTACAGTCTCACGTATGTATAAATCGTTGATATAAACTATTGATTGAATAATTACGAAAATTCTAAAAATTTGCATTTTAAAATGTCAGATAATCGAAAAAATCATGAAAATAAAAAACGGAAAATTTCTATAGATTTGAACTTTATTACTTTGTTAATTGAAGAACTACTTTTTTCCTTACTTAAAATCTCCATTAATTGGTTCTAGTAGAAGAGAATCAAAGCTTATTTATCATTTTGGTTGCTATACTTGACAAATATTTTGCTAGTAGAAAGCTTCCGACAATTCTTCATCAATTAGCATCTGCTGAGTTAGTTCCAGAGTTGACTCAAAGAGTCATAGACTCCAAAAATTTATAACCAATAATCATTTGATTATTATGCAATCATCGTTAAAATTGCTTGACAAATGTCTCAGATGTGTTAGTATCAGAATACAAATAATATAAAACGACTCTATGAACAAAATTCTCAATGAAATCTCAAAAGTTATTGATACAATCTTAGATAAACAAATTAAATTATTTATTTTCTTCCTACGTTTTTATTTTCTTCTTTCCATAGGTTGTGGTATTGTCTTTTGTGATTATGATAATCTTTCTTGGCGTCCATATATAACTTGTTGGATAAATCGAAAATCTAAAGAATATCATGAACCATTAACATATTTAACAAATAAATATTTAAAACCTATTATACAATTTAAACAACAAAATTGTAAAGAATTAATACCAATAGCTGAATTAAATGGTGTACGTTCATTTTCATATTTATTTGATTCATTAGCAACAAAAGAAAATGGTGTTGATCCATCTGATGAAGATAATTTTTCACGTTTAACTGAATTATGGTTTTTATTTTCAACAATATGGTCTGTTTGTGCATCAGTTGATGAAGATAGTCGTAAAAAAATTGATACATTTATACGTGAATTAGAAGGTACAATACCAAATAAAGATAGTATTTATGAATATTATGTTGATCCTAAACAACGTGCATGGTTATCATGGGAAGATAAATTACGTAGTGGTTGGAAATTAAATTCTGAAATACCATTTTATAAAATAATTGTACCGACTGTTGATACAGTACGTTATAAATATATTGTTTCATCACTTATTAAACAAGGTCATCCATGTTTATTATGTGGTCCTGTTGGTACAGGTAAAACATCTGTTGCACATGCTGTTATGTCAGAATTAGATGCAAGAGAATATTCAACATTAATTATAAATATGAGTGCACAAACATCATCAAATATTGTACAAGAAATTATTGAAGCACGTGTTGAAAAACGTGTTAAAGGTGTTTATGTACCTATTGGTGGAAAGAAATTATTAAATTTTATGGATGATTTTAATATGCCAGCTAAAGATGAATATGGTTCACAACCGCCATTAGAATTATTAAGATTATGGCTTGATTTTGGATTTTGGTATGATAGAAAAAATCAAACAGTTAAATATATAAAAGTATATATATATATATGTGAAAAAAAATATTTTGAATTTTCTATATAATCTTTTTTTTAGGATATGTTGTTATTAGCTGGTATGGGTCCACCAGGTGGTGGTCGAACAGTAATTAGTCCACGATTACAAAGTCGATTTAATTTAATTAATATGACATTTCCATCTGTAAGGTCTTAATTAAAAGATTTAATTAAAAACTGATTGTTTTTTTTTGTAGGCAACAGAAATTCGGCGAATATTTGGTTCAATGATTTCTCAACGTTTAGCAGATTTTGATGATGATTTTAAATCATTACCAGATGCATTAACATCAGCAACAATTGAAATGTATGAAACTATTGTACAAAAATTTTTACCAACACCAACAAAAATTTATTATTTATTTAATTTACGTGATATATCAAAAATTTTTCAAGGTTTATTACGTGCTGATAGAAAATTAATTACATCAAAACAAACAATGATTCGTTTATGGATTCATGAATGTTTTCGGTAAGAATTTCCTTCATGAATTTATTTGTATTGATTTATTTCCTTTTTATTTAAGAGTTTTTGCTGATCGACTTAATGATGATAAAGATCGTGAACAATTTAGTGCAATTTTAAGTGAAAAATTAGGTACTCATATGGATGTAACATTTCATTCTATATGTCAAAATCGTATTCCACCAACATTTGGTGATTTTGTTAATCAAGATGAAATCTATGAAGATTTAATTGATTTTGATAAATTAAAAATTCATATGGAAAAAGTTCTTAAAGATTATAATGAAACACCAGGTACTGTACCAATGGATTTAGTTCTATTTCGTGATGCTATATTACATATAACACGTATTGTACGTGTTATTCGACAACCACGAGGTAATATGTTATTAATTGGTATTGGTGGATCTGGAAGACAATCATTAGCTAAATTATCATCATTTATATGTAATTATGGTGTATTTAAAATTGAAATAGCAAAAAATTATCGTCGAAATGAATTTCGTGAAGATTTAAAACGTTTATATAAACTAGCAAGTGTATCAAATCGTGAAACAACATTTATATTTGTTGATACACAAGCTGTTGAAGAAACATTTTTTGAAGATATTAATAATATTTTAAGTTCAGGTGACGTACCAAATTTATTTCGACCAGATGAACTTGAAGAAATAAAAACATCAATGGCAACAGAATTAAAAAAAGAAGGAGTTGATGAAGATAATAATCAAGAAGTTTATGCATTTTTACTTGATCGTGTTAAAGCAAATTTACATATGGTTGTTTGTATGAGTCCAGTTGGAGAAGTTTTTCGGTAGGACTTTTTTTTTTTTAATCTAATCAAATGTTATTATTTAATCTTCTTTATTTTTATTTTTATTTTTTTGATAGAAATCGTATTCGTATGTATCCATCATTAGTTAATTGTACAACAATTGATTTATTTGCTGATTGGCCACAAGATGCTTTACTTGAAGTTGGTGAACGTTATCTTTCTCAAATTGAATTAGCTGGTGATGAGAAGGTAAATAATTTTCAAACAAAAAAAACAAAAAAAAAAAATTTATTTCGTCTAATCTATCTAAATAAAAACTTTACAGTTTGCAACGGTAAGACAAATGGTTACTGTTGTTGTTTTTTTTCTTTTCACATATTCACTTTATCATCGTCCTTTTTTTTTTTCGTTTGTCCATTATGCATGAAATCATTTTTCATTTTTGTGTGTGAATTTTTTGTCTTATGGATGAAGATGATTTTTTTTGGTTTTTAATGAAGATTTTTTTTTTTTTCTTATATAAATAGTTTCGTCTATCGATTGCTCAAATATTTGCTACAGTACATAGTTCTGTTTATCAATGTTCAATACAAATGTGGGATGAAATGCGTCGACGAAATTATGTAACACCAAGTAATTTTCTTGAATTAACAACTGGTTATCGAAAGTAAGATAAAAAAAGAAAAAGAAAAAAATTATGTTTATTTCTATTTGATTTTTATTTATTAGACTTTTATATGAAAAACGTAAAGAATTATGTGATGCACGTGATAAATTAACAAATGGTTTAGGTAAAATTGAAGAAGCCAAAATACAAGTTACAGAAATGTCAGTTGAACTTGAAAAAAAACGTGCTTTAGCTAATGAAGCACAAAAAAAATGTGAAGAATCATTAGGTGGTCTTGTTAATGAACAACGTGAAGTTGAACAAAGTAAAGCAACAGTTGAAAAATTAAAAGAACGTGTTAAAATTGATGAAGAAAAAGCATCAACTATAGCTCAAGCTGCTCAAGAAGATTTAGCAGCTGCTATGCCAGCACTTGAAGCAGCTAATACAGCTTTACAATCATTAACTAAAAGTTCAATTACAGAAGTTAAAAGCTATGGACGACCACCAGTACCTGTTGAAAAAGCATTAGAAGCTGTTATGATACTTAGAAATTCAGAACCAACATGGGCAGAAGCTAAACGACAATTGGGTATGTAAATATTTGATTATAATCTATAGTGTAAAAGTTTCACTTATTTTTTCGGTTACAAATGGTTAGACACAGTTAGAATGAAAATTTTTTGTGAAAAAAGTCCATGCAAAGCGAAATAGAGATTTCGTCTGTATCTTTGAATAGTTTCAACTTAACATTAGTGTAGAGCACTAGATTAGATATTACAATAAACGAAATCTTATCTATACATTGTCACTAAAGAACTAGATTTGTTTTTACGATAATCGATATTGATCAAGAAATCATTCCTTCTTTCGTATTCTATCAATCGAATACATATTCAAAATGAAAAATTTTTCGTTTTTAGGTGATACAACATTTATTAATCAATTAATTGATTTTGATAAAGATAATATTCCAGATAAAACAATTATGAAAATAGGAAAATATACATCTGATCCATTATTATCACCACAAGAACTTTGTAAGTTATAATTATTGATTGATTTTTTTTGTTTTCTTATTTTATATAAAATAAAATAGTACGAGTATCAGTTGCTGCTTCTGGTCTATTTGCATGGGTACGTGCTATGGAAGATTATTCAAAAATATTTAAAACAGTTAAACCAAAACGAGATCGATATGAAGCAGCTATGGCTGAATTAAATGAAAAACGTGCACAAATAGCAGATGCTGAAAGACAAATTCAAGAAGCACAAAAACGTCTTGATGAATTACGTGCTAATTATGAAAAACAAATGGCTGAAAAAGAACAATTACGTCGTGATTGTGAACATATGCAGATGATGCTTGAAAAAGCTTCACGTCTTATAAATGGTTTAGCAAGTGAAAAAGTACGTTGGGAAGCAACTGTTGCTGATCTTGAACAACAAATAAGTTATGTTACTGGTGATTGTTTATTAGCTGCGGCTTTTCTTTCATATATGGGTCCATTTCTTTCACAATATCGTGATCATATGATGAATGAAATTTGGTTTAAAGAAATTAAAAAATTATCTATACCATGTAATCCATCATTTAATTTTGCAAATTTTCTATCAATACCAACACAAGTACGAGATTGGAATATTCAAGGTTTACCATCTGATACATTTTCTACAGAAAATGGTGTTATTGTTACACGTGGAACACGTTGGCCATTGTAAGTTTAGTTTCATGTAAAATTTCTTAAACTCTTAAGAATAGGATTACTTGAAAAAATCATGAAAATTTTCGAAATTCTAATCGGATAAGATATTTGTTCATATCAATGTTGAAAAATATTTTCGAGTATGATAATCTTGATGATGTATGTAGGTCTTCTCTTCAGCTACATCCCCATAATACGGATGGCATTGTAACAAATTGATGGTCTGTGTGCTATTGCAAATTATAATAGTATCGTATGCAAATTAATTAGGAGTTGATTCGAAACTGGACTTATACGTATCTGGTCATCAAGGAGTTAATTAATTAAATATTTTAGTGATTTCATTTATAGGAAAAGATTTATCATTGTTAGGCATCTCTTTGAATTCGATATATTAGCTTTTAAAATTGAAAATTTGAATACATATGTATCCTTTTGTATTTATACAGTAGTTACAATTTTTTATAACAAAAACATAAGAATTAAATAATGAATATCATTGATATGGATGTCGATTATTGCAGCTAAAAATCCGCTGTTATCGTGATGATATTCAGAAAAAATTGTTTGTAATTTCACTGTTATTATTAATCTATGAGATTCATCGAGTCTCAGAATGTTACTTTTATAGACACTGAAATTGCATGCAAACTCATGTAGTTTTGAAATTTCATTTGGAAAAAAAATCTGTCGCCATGATGGACAGCTCTGAGAGACACAGTCATTTAGAAATTTCTTCGTGTTTCATAGAAACGTTGAATTCGAGAATGAAATGATGATCGATAACGAGAAATGTTCCTGCTTTAGGATTGACACTACGTTTGAAGTCTACTGTTATCTCCTAAGCGATTATGCATAAGTCAAAAATTTTCATATATAAATTCAAATCATGTTTTCACGTCACTTATTTGGATTTGTTGTCTGTATCAGAGAAGAGATCGGTTTGTGTTTTTCTTTTTGTAAAACCGAACAGATCCTATCTCTAGTCTGTATAGATATTCATTTTTATACGATTGTTTTAATGAATTGTTGTATAATTATAAATGAAATTTTTCTTTAATTAGAATGATTGATCCACAAGCTCAAGCTATAAAATGGATAAAAAATATGGAAATGTCAAATAATTTACGTCTTATTGATCTTCAAACACCAGATTATTTACGTATTATTGAAGAATGTATTCGTTCTGGTCGTCCATGTCTATGTCAAAATGTTAAAGAAGAACTTGATCCATCATTAGATCCTGTTTTAACACGTGCTGTTAAACGTATTGGTGGCGTTGATATATTAAAATTAGGTGATCGTGAAATTGAATATAATAAAGATTTTCGATTTTATATGACAACAAAATTACCTAATCCACATTATGCTCCTGAAATATCATCAAAAGCAAATATAATTAATTTTGCTGTTAAAGAACAAGGTTTAGAATCTCAATTACTTGGTATTGTTGTACGTGAAGAAAAACCTGAATTAGAAGCTGATAAAGATAAATTAGTACGTGGTATTGCAGCTGGCAGAAAAAAGCTTATTGAACTTGAAGATCAATTATTAAGATTATTAAATGAAACAAAAGGTTCATTATTAGAAAATGATGAATTATTATCAACACTTGAAATATCAAAACAAACAGCTAAAACTGTACAAGAACAATTAGTAACATCTGAAGCAACAGAAAAAGATATTGATGCTGCTCGAGAAGTAAAAAAATTATAAATAATAATAATAATAATTATATAATTTTTATTTAGAATTATCGACCATGTGCTGAACGTGCATCAATTTTATTTTTTGTTCTTAATGATTTAGGAAAAATTGATCCAATGTATCAATTTTCTTTAGATGCATATATTGATTTATTTAATACATCAATTAAAAAAAGTCAAAAATCTACTAAACTTGAAGAACGTTTAAATAAATTAAATGAATTTCATACATATGCTGTTTATAAGTAAAATTTAAAAAACAAAAAACACTATTCTTTAAAAATAGAAATTTTTCTTTTCCTATTAAGATACACTTGTCGTGGTTTATTTGAAGCACATAAATTATTATTTTCATTTCAAATGTGTGTTAAAATTCTTGAAGCTGCTGGAAAAATAAATATGGATGAATATCAATTTTTCTTACGTGGTGGTATTGTAAGTACTACTATACATTTTTTCAAAATATAGTGTTTTCCACTGGGTTTTTTGTTTTGAATAAATTTTGATAGGAATATCATAGAAACTTGAATTACAAGTCATCAAAGTATATCGAAATTTGATTGATCAATTAGAAAAGTTCTTGGTGGAGATTTTTGAAAAACTATTTTTCTTTCGGTCTACACACGGCTAACATTCCTATAGCTGGTTCCGTTCGGGAGTTAGAAGACTTTTTCTAAGACTTATCTGGAAAAGCAGGTAGACACGAGTAATTCACCATGTTAGATCATTTCGAGTCTAAATACAAATCGTACCGTTAGACTCAACATGGTGAATTACTCATGTCTAACTATTTTTTCGAATGATCACAGATCAGGAAGAGTATTAGAACTCTCGAACGAAACAGGTTAGGAGTGTTGACCTTGCGTACGCCAAAAGAAAAATAGCTTCAGAATATTGTTTTCGAAAAATTCGCCTCATTGATCAACTGCTGACAAATCCATTTTCGATATATTCCGATGATCTAATCTCGAGTCTTCTCCTATAAAAAGTTATTCGAAAAAAAAACCCGTAGAATGAATGGTTAATTATTGTTTTTTTTTCTAGGTTCTTGATCGTGAATCACAAATGGATAATCCAAATCCTCAATGGTTAGCTGATTCATCATGGGATAATATAACTGAATTAGCTAAATTAGCAAATTTTCATGGTATTATTGAATCATTTGAACAATATCCAAGAGATTGGTTTCAATGGTTTCAATCAGGTGAACCTGAAAATACACCGATGCCAGGTGAATGGGATTCTGTAAATGAATTACAAAAAATGTTAATTGTTAGAAGTTTACGTTCCGATCGTGTACCATTTTGTGTAACAAAATTTATAATTAATAATTTAGGTTCAAAATTTGTTGAACCACCTATACTTGATTTAAGTTCAGTTTATGAAGATTCATTACCTAAAACACCAATTATATTTGTTTTATCACCTGGTGTTGATCCATCAGCTAATTTATCAGCTTTAGCAGAAAAAATGGATTTTAGAAAAAATTTTCTACCATTATCACTTGGTCAAGGGCAAGCACCAATAGCTACACAAAATATTGCTGAAGGTATTCGTGTGGTAAGTTAATTATGGAATCTATATTTCGATTAATTTATCATTTTATATTTCAAAGATAGATAAACATTCGAATATGTTATTTTTATTTTTTTGTTTTGTTTCAGGGTCGATGGGTATTTCTTGCAAATTGTCATTTATCATTATCATGGATGCCTGATTTAGAAAAAATTGTTGAAAATCTTTCAATTGAAAAAGTACATCCACTATTTCGTTTATGGTTATCATCATCTCCATCACCACAATTTCCTATATCAATACTTCAATCTGGTATAAAAATAACAACAGAACCACCTAAAGGTATTAAAGCAAATATGAAACGTTTATATGCATTAATTGATGAACAAGATTTTGCGGAAAAAAATCGTCAAACACGTCCAGAAAAATATAAACGTTTATTATTTTGTCTTTGTTTTTTTCATTCATTATTATTAGAACGTAAAAAATTTCTTCAACTTGGTTTTAATATTAATTATTCATTTAATGATTCTGATTTTGAAACATCAAATTTAATTATGGGTAATCTATTACGTGATCAAGATATGACACCATGGAAAGCAATGAAATTTATTATATCAAAAATAAATTATGGTGGTCATGTTACAGATACACGTGATATGCGTGTATTAAATACATATATTGAAGATTTATTTAAAGAAGAAGTTATTGATCCACAAGTACAATATTATAAATTAACAAAATTACCTAATTATTATATACCACGTGATGGATCATTAAATGAATATAAAAATGCTGTTGCAACTGTTTTACCAAATTCTGATAATCCCGAAGCATTTGGACAACATACAAATGCTGAAGTTGCATCACAAATTCGTGAAGCACGAATGTTATTTGAAACATTATTATCATTACAACCACAAGTTGTTGCTGTACAAGGTAAAAAAACAACTGAAGAAGAAGTTATGGAAATGTCAACACGTGTATTAGAACAATTACCGGAAAAAATTGATTATCAATCAACAGTTAAAATTTTATCTGAAGATCATTCACCATTAAAAGTTGTTTTATTACAAGAAATTGAACGTTATAATTTATTATTAGATATTATAAGACAATCATTAATATCATTACAAAAAGGTATTAAAGGTCTTGTTGTTATGTCATCAGATTTAGAAGAAATTTTTCGATGTATACTTGATGTACGTGTACCAACACAATGGCAAAAAATGTATCCATCATTAAAACCATTAGCAGCATGGACACGTGATCTTGTACAACGTGTTGATCAATTAGCCAAATGGGCTGAAAGTGCTCATGCACCAGCCATTTTTTGGATGTCTGGTTTTAGTTTTCCAACTGGTTTTCTAACAGCTGTTATGCAAACAACAGCACGTGGAACAAAAATTAGTATTGATCGTTTAATATGGGATTTTGAAGTGATGAAAGTTGAAGATAATTATTTACAAACACCTAAAGATGGTGTTTATGTAAAAGGTTTATTTTTAGAAGGTGCAGGATGGGATAAAAAAAATGCATGTTTAATTGAAGCTGAACCTATGCAATTAGAAGTATCAATGCCAACAATTTTATTTCGACCTACAGAAAACAAGAAAAAAACTTTAGCGACTGAAGAAGATCGTGAAAGAAAAACAGGTATGAGAAATTTTTTTTTTTTGTTTGTGAATTTTGAAAAATAAGATAATTTATAATGATTTTATTTTTAGATGTATATTCATGTCCAGTTTATTATTTTCCAAATCGTGCTGGTGGTTTTGGTCATCCATCATTTGTTGTTGAAGTTAATCTTAAAACACCACATTTTCCAAATAACCATTGGGTAAAACGTGGTGCAGCATTACTAATGAGTTTAGATAGATAAACTATATGACTGATCAGAGAGTAAATTGATATGTAAAGTTGTTTTTTTTTTGCTTTTATTGTTTTTATACTTTCACATATATATCTTTTATTCTACAATATAAATACACATTTGATAATACATTTATAAAGTATTTCAATGATTATGATAAAATCTTTTTTATCAGTTTCGGAATATATTAATTGACGATTACAAGATCAAGTAACAAGTCTACTATGTAATAACTTGTTCTCAGATGCTTTTCTTTAATTTGATAACGAATAAAATATTTATCCTTTATTATTAACCCACATTGCGATAATCGATCGAAAACTGTCGGTTCACAGCGGTTAACTGGATGTTTCATCACTTTATTAACCACGATTCTTCTGCTTAAATTTTTTTATGCTTAAAAAATGATAGATCATAATCGAAATCAGCCGTCACACTAATTGTGAACATGCTTAAATCACTTGAACTAGATATAAGTAAAGTTAGGGTGTATATGGGTGTCTTTTCTACTAATGCCCACACCCAAAGAGCTCGCCGAGCTGAATTTCTCAGGCAATGGGACAAGTCGTTTTTGAAAAAACTTGATCCAAATACTTCGAAATGATGCAAATAATAAGAATGAATATCAAGTGGAAACTAAGAATAAATACCATTTTATACGCTTCATGTGTATCAATAGGACTTGTATAGATAAATAACTATAAAATGATGAATTATATACAGTTTCATTTTTCTTTGTCTTATTATTATTATAATTTTTCATTATGATTTTTTATCATATGTATATATGATTTAACATTTTGTAGTTAAATGTCTTTTATATTGTTGTGTTGAAAATTTCTACGAATTTCAATTTTTTCACTCGATATTACTATTGAGGATGTCTATTTATTGTACCACTAGAAAGTGTTTATAAAGAATAGTAATGAATAGAAGATAGAGAGTTGTTGTTGGATAAGTTTACATATAATATCATTGCATATTGATAAAGATCGAAATTTATTTATAATCAATCGCAAAAAAGTGTTTCACATGATTATTGATGGATGTCATGCACGAAAACGTAGTGTCATAAGGCTTGCCATGATTTCTGTTATTTAACAGAAATCAGGTGAGTTCGAATACCAATGAAAAAAAGTATCAACAAATAGAAATAGTACTGCACAAATACATTTTTCTCGTGAGTGCTTACTATGAATCGTTTTGCTCTTAATGTAAATAAACACTCTTTTTAAGCAAATATTTGTGTGACTAAAGTATACAAATAAAAAGTGTTGAGGATATCTATAAAAAAGCAGAACATAGTCCGCGAAAGGAAAAGAAATCGAAGTAAATTAGACATCAATCAAAACTTGATCCTCAATTAAAATTTCGACTACGTAAATTTACTTCACACTCGATTGATTTCGCTGTTACCAAGAAAAAAGGAAGTATTAGTAATGACCTCGGAATCTTCAATCAAACAAACAGTGCCAAACTTTCCTAATTTCAGTTCTGATCAACAATACCAACACCCATTGACCAATCCTGTTCACGTCCCAAGTGAAAAAATTCACCATTACCTACTATGGTCGATTATCAATATCTTTTTCCGTTGGATGTTAGTTGGTATCATAGCCTTGCTATGCTCCATGCGTGTTCGTAGTTATCTTCAATAAGGCGATTTTGTTGACGCAAAAAAGTATAGTACCTGGGCACTTGTAATCAATATCATCGGCACCCTTTTTGGTCTTGGAGTCTAGGCTGTTATCATTTACTCTATTATTCAGTGGAAAGAATATCATACAACGAGTTCGAGTTATTATGGATAGTGATATATCAAAAGTTCTCCAATCTAAATTTGAGACATTTTCATTTGAGCTCATTCTGATTGAAATTACCTACATTGAAAAATATAAAAGATATTATCAATAAAGAAATGGAAGACATAAAAGAGATTATAAGATAACAAGGAAGAATGATAAAGGATAACAGAGATGGATGTTATTTGAATTTCATATCTTAAGTAGAATGTTCTTCTTTATTGTTTTCGCAGAAGAAAATTAAATTAGAAAAACATTTATTATCTTTACATAAATAACAATAAGTTAGTTATTTTAGTTGACCATTTGTTTCTTTTTTCTGTTAAAACTTAATATAACATATTGATTTCATGAAAGAAAAAAATAATGTTTTCATAATTGTTTCTTAAATATTAACTGTGAATTAAGAAAAAAAAATCAAATTCATAATAAATTAAAAATAAATCTTTGTATATTTTGTTTTATTTTCTTATTTTTAATATTAGATAAATTCAAAATCAACAATAATATTTTACATATTTGTTTTTCAAAATATACAAACAATTATGCTCTTATTGACTTAACCTAGATATTTGTTTTTTTTTGGTCATAATTCTATTATGAAATAGACGAATATTTATCAATCCATTTCACTGTTATCCAAGTGACTAGAGGATATTCATATGTATTTGTTACACGAGCTAATTGATCAATATTATTAAGTCCATCAATATCTTGTCTTAAAGTAGCATCAAATAAAAGTTTAAAACGATTTTCATTTCGTATTTGAGTTGAATGTGAACCAGCATAATAATAACCAGTTGTTGGTCGTTGAACACAAATATCTTTGGATAAAAATCTTAAACCCATATCATCGTCTTCTCCACCCCAATTAAAATATCTATTTGAATAACCATTTAATAAAATAAAAGTTTCTGGTCGAATTGTTAATACACCACCAACAAGAAAAGAATAGATTGTTGTATATGAACCATTTATTTTAAAACGTACATTAGCTGACATATGAAGGGGATGATTAGTTAATGTTAAACATGAATATAAATTTTGATCATTTTCTGGAATAAGATCAACATCTAAACAAAAAAAAAACCAGTCAAATGTGATTGACTGTTTTTTGAATAACTTTTGATAAAAATATCATAGAGATCTGTGATTTTCACCATTTAAGAGAGAAGATCTAGAGAGCTCTAGATATATATCAAAATTCGATTGACCAGCAGTTGAACAATTAGGTAAGTTCTTGATGGAGATTTTTGAAAACGATATTCTAAAATTATTTCCTTTTCGATTGAGACTCTTAATAGAACTAATCGATAGAAAAAAATTTTCCCTTTTGCTCTACAAGCAAGACCGACATTCCTAGCTTACTTCGATTAAGTGTTATAAGATTTTTTCTGAGACACTCCATTTTCAGCCAACTGACCTATGATCATTCAGAAGAGCAGTTCATATTTTCAAAATGTCGATTCTTTCGTTATGTATCGAGTCTGATTGTGGAATTTCAGAAATTGGGAGTCTCACAAAAAGTCTTATAACTTTCGAATGGAACAAGCTAGGAATGTTGGTCTTGTGTAGATCAAAAGAGAAAACTGGTTTTTTTTCTATTGATTAATCCTATTGAAAGTCTAAATCGAAATGGAAATAGCTTTAGAATATTGTTTCTCAAAAATCTTCACCAAGAACTCATTTGATTTATCAACTGCTGACTAATTGAATTTCGATATACTTCAATGACCTTGAGTTTTTTCTCTCTCTTGAATAGTGAAAACCACATGTCTCTATGATATTCCTATAGTACATTATATTTTCAAAATGAATACTAGAAAAATTAATATTTAATTACCATGAAAAATAACACATGTTGGTTTATATATTTTCATAATATGATAAAATCCAATATTATACAATCGACCTTTATTAAATGCACCTGATGTTTGTTGTTCAATAATAAATATTTTATAATTAAAAATTTTTTGTCGTTGTAAAAATGGTAATAAATTATATAATAAATTTTGTAAATTTTTTTCACGATTACGATATGAAATAATAATTGCAATTGTTTCATTTTCAAATATTGAACATGTATTGAATGTTTTCCATAATTTAACATATTTTAATGTTAATGATGAACGTATTTGAAAATCATTTGTTGGATTAAGATTAATTTTTAAACTTCCATTTAAATTTATTTTACAAATTGTTGATATTTGATGAATTAAATTAGTTCGATTAAGTATACCACTATTACCGGTACATACTACTTGATAATCATATAAACGATTAATAGATACAGGTACAAGAACTTTTTGTTTATGTAATAAATTCAAAGACTTTTTATACGAAATAGAATCATCAAATTGTTGAGTATTTTGATGAATTGATATATGAATATTATAAATTATGAATAGAAATATAAATATAGACAAAATAAATATAGATAAAAACCGATATTTTTTACTACTAGTCAATATACGTGGACAATAATATGTTAGATAACGTTGTATAGTCATTAATTATATATTTGTGAATTAATCTGATTCAATTTTATTTCATTCTCAAAGATATAATCAGTGTGAATCTATATTTCTTTCTGAAATAAAAGAAAGAACAAAGTTTATGATGAGAATGATCATATGACAAATATGTCTACTACGTATATCGCAAAACAAAACTATTCAAATATTAATGGACCATATTGGATATTGTATTCAAGTATAGGATTAGTATTTGGATAGGCATGAATCAAATTTCTATTGAAGATTAAAAAAAAACGGTCATCTGTCTCAATCGTATTTTAACTTTTTCATTCTCCAGACTATGATTAATACGGGAATCTCGCCAACTGACACACTCTATCTAAGCTCATGACTACGAATTATAGTTTAGATTAAAAACTTAAAAGGTTTCGTGCCCTTTGACCTTACTTCTTGAGTTATAATCATTTTACTGTATTCTCAGCACATTGTAAGGTATTACGTAAATAACCTTAGTAAAAAGTTTCCATCAGAAGTTTTTCCTGATAATAGATCATATTGTACTTATTATATTCGCAAATTTTCAGCTAAAACTGGCAAGATTTTCTTAGGATGTGAAGCACCTAGAAAATGGACTATTTTAGGAGATTTTGTGCGAAAGGAATACTTTTGTTTTTGCAAATATGTTATCTCGGAAGAGAAGTCTTCGTTTGAGTTGAAACTTTTGAGACATGATAAATACTATGAGTTCTGTTATTGGGGAAAATGTCAGACGAAAACTTTTTAGTGCAATTGTTTTCGTAATATACTACAATACATTGAAAATTTAGTAAATTGGTCATAACTCATAAAGAAAAGCTGAACAGCACGAACCCTTCTCAGTTTTTCATCTATACTAGGAATCCTATTTATGAGCGAAAATCAGAATCATATCTTAAAAAAATATAACTAATTAAATTTGACAAAAAAAAACAAAACGCTTCGACACTTTCAAATGGCGAGAAATCTCATTGTTGACGAATCGCTCTTTTTTTTTTTCTTTTATTACTCTCCGATGTGTCCATGAAGATAGTAGAATAAAGAAATGATGCATTCGCTCGTATTATGCAAGAACAAGAACCATATCAAATATGAACGACGCTGAAAACTCGTTTGCTTTATTTTTATATACATTAAAATCTGATATGTTTATGAAAAAAGCAAACAAAGCGTTTTAGTTCAACATAATTGGCCAACTATAACGTCAATTATAATCTTACTGCAGTTTGAAGTAATGCATGTTACATGAGAAAAAAATGTAGTTTTACAAAAAGTCAATATAAGATAATGACACTTTTCTTCACAAATAAAAGCTGAAACAGGAATAGAATTTCTGAAGGTATTATGGAAATGCGAAGAAAAAAAAATTTATAGAAATAAAAAAAAAAATCTTTCCCGCACAACAACACTAGTAGTATAGTATAGTATATGCTTATAGAGATTTTTCTTTCTTTCTATTTAGATTATTGTCAAGCAACCGGCAGAAGATTAAAAACGATGAATGACTCATACCACGAGACTAATTCAACTTGCTTTGATAAAGAGAAAAAAAAACACATAAAAAGAATAGTAATATAGATTTATAATATCAAAAATTCTATTTCAAAATTTCTGATTTAATGAATACAGTTTAAGGAGGCATCCTTAACAAAAAAATTGTTTTTTTCAACCATTCAATCTTAATGAAATTTCTAGAAGATTTGTATCTCGAGTTAAGAAGTTCACATTTAAAACTTCAGCTCGATACATTGAGTTTTTGAAGAGTTAGCTTAAGATTAAGAGTCAAAATATAGGTGTTAAAGCATTCTGAATATCGCCGCCATTTCAAATGCTAGAAAGTTCGGATTAGTTTTAAAATGTAGTCAAAATATTGCACTACTACTTAGCAGACTCCAATTTTTCTTAGTTTGTTTTTATCGAAAGTTTTCTTGATAAAATAGAGAAAAATTACGGGGTGTAGGGTCTAGAACGATTAGTTTTTAAGTAAGGACTAATGGGAAAATTGAAAATTTCGGCTGTGTTAAGTTGTACAGCTGATTTTTGATACCAAGAATCCAGCTTTGTAGCGTTTAAACTGGCGGTGAAATCTGAGACACACGAAAACCCTAAAATGAAAAACCTACTTGTGAGAAAAACGCAAAATTAGTTTCAACACTGAAAAAATCTTAATACAGAGTGATAAATCAAGCTGCGTTGAAAGGAAGAAAAAGATACATTTCACTTGTAGAAAAAAAAAAGAATGGATGACAAATTGATAAAGTATGTGAGTTGTATAATACTAATTGAAAAAATACAACGAGAAATAGAGCCTTAAAAAGAACCGTGATATTACGAAAATCTCGAAATGATGTTAAAATTAAAGTATCCGTAGATAAAAGATATATTTCTTTAGTTAGACCTTAAATTTATTTATTGTCGAGCATTACTAATTAATCAATAATATTTAGAGAAATCTAATAAAACAAAAAACCTTCTATCAAATTGAATTATTAGTATTTTTTTATTTATATTTATTTCAAATTCTCTTAAAGTCTTATTCAATTAGCTATCATGATATATCACTATACTATTACACTATTTTTATTAATCATCTTTTTTTCTTCCTCTACTTCTCAATATGAATTTTTAATTGATGAAATTATGCATATCATTAGATTGATACGGTTTGCATAGAATTGACACAAGAAGTATCTATTAAAAATATATGTTTAAATTAACTTACTATTATTACATTTTATTTTTTTGATATATTTCTTCAATTATTTAATAGTAGTATCCTCTAGAAGAGAGAAATCGCATACACTTATAAAAGAAATATTATTCTTTTTTCTTTCTTCTTCACAACAGTTGCTAACAAAACTGAAAAACAAATAGAGATGCTGGCTTGTAATATTACTCTTTTTTTCTATTCTATTTGATACCCTACGTGTAGAAATGTAAATTGATGCATTGATTGGCCGCGATGGTGATGACTAACAGTTTGTCGATGATTCGTTAGAATTTTCTTAGCTATGACCAATTTTGAAATTGAAGAGATAGAAATTGATGATGGAGAACGTATTAATAAATTTCAATAGAAATTGCATGTTTTCTCAGAAAAATTACTTTTTTTTTTGAAAAATTTTATTGAATTTTTTTATTTATTCAACATTTCTGCAATGAACAGCGAATGTGAATATACGAAGCTAAACTACGAAAAAAGACTACATAAAATTGTTTATTCATACTATAATACTTCGTTTTTATGCAATAAATGTCGTTGTCTCGTTTTCCTCTTTCATCAACAAATACGTACATTATCATTGATTACTTTTTTCTAATTCTAATTCTGTCTTCACTGATTCTTCTTAATCATCAATTTCTGTTATCGTCTACTTGCCAACTACTTACTGCTGATAGAGGTGTGACTGCAGGAAGAACAAGCACATAAACTGGCACCCATACCCTTCTATAAATAATATTCGTGTAAAGTAATCAATACTCTTTTTGCCGGTTTTTTTTGTTTTACTTTTATCTAGGATCCATGCAGAGACCATTCTGATAAACCAGAAATAGTTCAAGAAATAATGATATTTCTATTATTTAACTGTAAACATTCTAAAGGAGTCTTAAGCAAAAAAAAATGGAATAAACACAAAATCAATTGCGGTCCTATCCCTGTCAAAAATTTTATTTTCGTTTCAGAACAGTCAGTCTAGATGGAAATTTCAGAGAATATGGGCCCGAGCCTATAGAGCTTTCAGTAAAAATATCAGCTCAAAATATTGAGTTGTTCTAGAGTTATTCCTATATTAAGAGTTAAAAAATAGGTCTCCTATTCAATTGAAAACCTTTCTGAACTTCCTAGCATGTAAAATGTCTGAGAAATATGGTATGCACAAATAGAAAAAACCTCATTTTGAGAAAAATGCTAAGCAAAGTTTGCTATTGAAAATCAATGTTTCTGTTTAGTAAATAAGAAAACGAGAACGACGTACGAGACAGAACAGATAAGAATAATTCGCATATAGCCGAGTGGCTAAAGAACGTGAAATAACACGATGCTGCTTCGAATCCAGTGCGAAGCAATAATTCTTTTCTGTTCTGTACATGTTTCTCCATTGAATTTTATTAAAATATTTTTGGCTCATGATCAGAATTATCCTTCGGAGATCTCGACATGAGCGGTGGTAATGGACCACACTGAATCCGAATATGCTATTTTTATTCACCGAGAACATGATCCTTTTTCATCAAATTTTATGCATATGGTAGACAGCAAACGGATTAATTCAGCTTGAAAAAATGAAGCTCCTTCTACTTGATTGGATTAAGTATCATACACTTGTACGATTTTCAAGGAAAAGAAATAAAAAACCAAGATTTTTGAATATGAATTAAGCAAAAGAACGCTTCAGATGACAGAAAATATTTTAGTCGTCTAATAAATTGTTCAATTTCAAAACGAATTTTAATACTCAGAATTTATAGAATTTTTATTATGTAATTAAATCTTTAAATAATCTTTTAATTATGAATTATCATCGTGAAGAATGTTATACACTCTTCTCAATATATGTACATGAAGTTTTTCTTTTCGTTCTGTCGTAAGTGTCGTATCGAAGTTACACCGGTCGACGAAGTTATAACTTCGTCGTCTCATATTCACGAAGTTACAACTTCGTCGTATAAATGTGACGAAGTTATAACTTCGACGCTCATAGTTATCGAAGTTACAACTTCGACCGAGAAACTTGTCGAAATAATTTTTAATTCACTTATCAATAAATAATTTATTACACTGAGCACTTTACTGTTGAATACATGATCAAAAAATAAAATTTTTACTAATAAATGTTCATTTATTCCACAATATTATAAAAAAAATGAATATTTATTAATAAAAATTTTATTTTTTAATCATATATTCAACAGTAAAATACTTAGTTTAATAAATTACTTATTGATAAGTGAATTAAAAATAACTTCGACAAGTTTCTCTGTCGAAGTTGTAACTT